CAAAAACACCTTCTGTGAAAAAGCCATACAGCACAGTACCTTTGATAAGAAGTATTTAATCATAGAAGATAATAAAGAACTGTGCGATAACCCTACTGTAATGTATAATATTGTATCAATTGTATCAATTTATAAAAAAAAAAAAAGGGGGGAAGGTGAGTGCAATCTTACTACTTTATTTTTCGTTGTTAAATATTTTTTTTTTACAATAAATAAATGCACTCTAAAAATGTAGGTCTTGTCAGGGAGATGCACTGAAACTCACTCAACATTAAATTGAGGTCAACAAGACTATAAAGATGAGATTAATATGCAAGTAGTTTAAATTTTCTATATGAAAATGAAAATAGATCTAAAATATTTGGGACATTGCATGAAACAAAAATCTCTACTTGTCTAATATATTGAGAAATGGAGACCTTCAAAAAGGTAATTTTTAGAAATTATACAGGTCTTGAAAAACAGAAATTGAATATAAACCCTGAAAAATACAGAGCAGTCCTAATATCATAGCCAAAAAACAACAGAATTCTGAAGATAATAAACTTTGGTATTTAAAAATATCATGTCAGACATGAGGTTTATTATGTTCCATCTCTCAAAGCCATTCAACAACAGGGTAAGCAACAAAGAGCTATTATGGTATCAGTTTTTCAGTAAAGCCCAGTCCAAATCATTGGGAAGTAAAAAAATGGCAGAATGATTTAGCACATCACCTCATTATTGTCCAAGTTTCACTTGCTAAATTGTGATAAACCTCTTATGTATTTTCCCCAGAGAGGATGGAGAATGTGGGTGACTGAACTAGAGAGCATCCAATGAGACAGGTTATGCTTTAAACCAGGTTTAATCTGAATTTTACAATCCAAAGAAAATCCACGTTTCTGTAATGTGGTCTCTGAAGTGATACAATGACAATCTCCTGTACCCTTGGTGCGTAGTTTAAGCATGGACATACCAGGAGGCCTCTGAAGGAGGGAAGAAAAGGTGTCACTCTGTGAGCCAGACAGACTCCCCAAGGCACCTGTAACCTGGTGGTTTACAAAAGTAATAATCTCCTGTTCTGCCCTATTCCCTTTGCCAGTAAAAACTGTGCTTTCCCCTATTTTTATGTTCTGTTATCAAATACTATAAGGTCATGTCTTGTTGCAACTCTGTATCCTTGTATAAGCACATTAAGTATTTTTACTACATACATATGAGAACTTTTTGGAAAAAACATTACAGCAAGTCAGTCATTATTCTGAGTAACCTGAAGGACATGTGATCATTTCACAGAATATTCTGAATTGGAAGGCACCCACAAAGATCATCAAGTCCAACCCATACAGGGATCAAACGCACAACCTTGGTGTTATTAGCACCATGCTCTAACCAACTGAGCTAATCTCATTTGATCATTTATGGACAGTAATCCAGGAACAGGACTAAATAGGTGACAGATAATGTATTTTGGAAAAACAAAACAAAACAAACAAAACCAAAAAAACCCCACAACACCAAGCTAGTGTAAAATATGGTGATAGTTCAGTCTGAACAAAAAAAATACTCACTTTCTGTTCAGGTTCCTTTAAACTTAGTGGGGATTATAAGTATCAATTTGCAGATGCAGAAAGACAAAAATACTAAATTTACTGAATTTTAGTCTCCACTTAGTCATTGAGACTAAGTCTGTAGCTACCAGTTAATAGAGATAAGCACCTCAAAACCCCAAAACATATCTGAACAAACCTCAACCCTTGTATGTCCCACCTCTGTGACAGAATACACAAAATACTTTCCAGAGGTTCCCTCCCTCTCTCTCTCTCCTATGTTTTATTACTGAATTTACTTGTCCTATCATGTCACTTTTATTATCAAAGTTTTCTTTAATAACCATCTTGTCTTTTGCAATTCTAAAATGGTGGATCTGTGTTGTTGATTGAAAACACTGAACTTGAATGTAGAATGAAAAAAAATATGGATCTCTGTACCAGTTTCTTCTTCTCCATTAATTTCCTCTTTTTATGATTTTAAATACCCTAGAGATATCTATAGAAGCTAAAATAAGGTATTAAAGACATTTCTGTTGTCAGCTTTATCCCTTTATGATGTTTAGTCTTTCTTATTTGAGGTTTCTATTTGTTTAAAGCTACCTAGCTGAAATGGAAGCCACCCACATAATTTTTCCAAGAAAATTAGATATTTGCAATATAATACTTGTACTGTAGTTCCATTCCTCCATCATACATACTACATCTAGCTTCAGTGGTCTGAACAAGCAAAGGCATGCACATAATTAATTCCATGAGGGACAGCTTATTCATATATTTGCACACACAACTCTTGCTCTTTGTGTATCAGTTGCATATAATTTACAATGACTATTTCTGCTAACTTGAGTACTTTGTGTAAATTAAATTCTAAATAAAGCTCCAAGTTTTCAGACATATTTTTTTTGTTGCTTGATCAAACATTTTCTATTGTCCTACATGCACATGTGTGCGTGCACACACACATACTGGAAATGGCTTTTTCTATTCTTCAGCTTGTGCTATGCACTAAAATGGTTATAAAAATAGCAACATGGCAACGGTTGCTTGCACATGTGGATGTCATAAACATTTTGTGTTCCTTTACAGCCAAATTCAATTCAAGGCACTGTCGCAGCAGTGGGCCTGCTCCAGGAGCCGGCACGGGAGAGGGTCTCTCAGGCACCAAGGTGATTTGCAAGTTGCAAGGGAGTAACACATACGGTGTGGATTAGCTGTAAATTAAACACACAAGTGTTTCCTTTATAAGTGACATATATATAGGAGGAATTTCTTCACATAAAGGGTGATTAGACATTGGAATGGACTGCCAGGGAGGTGGCCGAGTCACCATCCCTGGAAGTGTTTAAGGAAAGATTGAACATGACACTTTGTGCCATGGTCTCGTTGACATGGTGGTGTTGGATCACAGGTTGGACTCAATGATCTCATAGGTCTCTTTAAACCTAATTGATTCTTTGATTCTATGATTCCTGGGGCACGATGATGGGTCCTGTCCCCCCAGCCGTGCCCCACCCTCACCCACCGCATGGCCCGCGCTCCTTCCCAACACATATACATAAATGCACACAGAATCTGTGCTTTAAAAAAAAAAAAACAACCAAAAAAAACCCAACCATACAACCATAGGAATGTTGTTTGAAAAAAAAAAAAAAAAGCACCCGTTTTCAGGATTGTGAGTAAATATGACCCAAGGGGCTTCCCAGAGGTATCCCAGTTCCCCCCAGCTGTCACCCCCCAGGGCCTCCCATCAGCCCACCCTGGCCACCTTCCTGAGCCCCAGCTCCCTGCAGAGGTGCCCCTCGCTCACTATGGAGCTCCTTCCCCCAGCACAAGGCCGTGCCTCGATTAATGCCCAGGCATGGGCTCCCATTTCAGTGTTTACACTATATTTCTACTGTGTCCAGTTCTGGGCACCTCAATTCAGGAACAACATCGACATGCTGGAGTGTGTCCAGGGAGAGGCAAGAAAGCTGGTGAAGGGTCTGGAGCATATGTCCCATGAGGAGCAGCTGAGGGAGATGGGGTTGTTTGGCCTGGAGAAAAGGAGGCTCAGGGCTGACCTTATCACTCTCTACAACTACCCAAAAGGAAGGAGTAGCCAGGTGGGCATCAGACTCTTCTGCCAGGCAAACTGTGACAGGACAAAAGAACAGTCTTCAGCTCTGCCAAGGGAGGTTTACATTGGACATTAGAAAGAATTTCTTCACAGAAAGGGTGATTAAACATTGGAATGGACAGCCCAGGGAGGTGGTGCAGATTCTGCCTCTGGAGACGTTTAAGGAAAGTCTGGATGTGGCACTTAGTACCATAGTCTAGTTGACATGGTGGTGTTTGGTCATAGGTTGGACTCAATGATCTCAGTGGTCTTTTCCAACCAAACTGATTATTCGATTCTGTGATTCCAGAGGTTCGATGAGTGTCCTGTCCCCCCCCAGCCCTGCCCACCGTCTCCCACTCCGCGCCCCGCGCTCCTTCCCCGCGGCCGCCCAGCACGGGGCTCTAAGATGGCGGCGGCTGCTGCCGCCGGCAGGCAGGTGAGCGGGGCGGCCTCTCCCCTTCCCTTCCCTTCCCCCGCCCCGGCTGCGCCGCTCCCCCGGCTCCCTCCCGGAATGGTGGCCACCCCTGGCGCGGCCCCTCGCAGCCCGCCCAGCCCGGGAGGTCCCTCGGCCTCGCCCTCCCACTCTGCCGGCGGGGAGAAAGGGGGAGAACTCGGCACCGCCACCGCACCCCCCAGGGGAGGCGGGCTCGGTTCTCCCGCGGCGGCGGAAGGGGTTCGGCTCCCCCGACCGCCCCGGGCGGCAGCGGGCGCGGCTCCTCCGAGGGAGCTGGTGCGATCCTTCCCAGGCACCGCGGCACACCTGAGCTCTGCAGCCCCGCCGGGGCCGCCGGGTCCTGTGGCGGAGAGCCGGGAATGATCGGAAAAGGGCTCTAGGGCGGGGAGAGGATGAGATCTCTCGTAACGCAGTATGCAAAATACAAATTTTTGGGCATAGCCTTCCTGACTTGTCGAACGCGGAACCTGAGATCTCTGCTCTCTGGAGTAGCTGTGCCTTCCCCATTGGCACTCCGCACTCGCCACCAGTGTGTTCCTCTGTGCCGGGGACAGACATCAGCATACTTGGGGTGTCGCTTTTCTCCAGAGGAAAAGCAGCTGCTTTTCTCCAGAGAACACTTGGTGTTCCCTAGGCAGATTTTGCCCGCGTAGACAGAAAACTACAGCCATTTGTCCCAGGTTTTCTCCCTCCGTGACAGCTGCAGTCCGGGAGCCATACCGAGTGCTGGGCAAGCGGCACTGCCCCACGCCCGCTCTGTGGAGCAGCCGCCCTGTGTGGAGTCCCGGGAGTGCCTGGCTGTTCTGCTCAGAAAGTGCCACAGGTCCCGCTTGTTTGCAAGTTAATTTGTGTACATTCAGTGTGCCCAGAACACACTGGAGTGGCTGTGCAGCCAGTACAGGCCACTCTCGACATGCCTGTTGGTGCTCCCAAGGCAGTTTGTTATTTGTAAAGTTGTATCAGTTTTGGGGTTTAAACAATAGTGATCCTAATGGTGTTAGGCCTGATAGCTCATGTACAAAACCCATTTCTTCTTATACATAAGATGCATCATTCTTTTGCTAATGGGTTTCACTGGTGTTAAAAATTAGAACACATCAGTATATACTCTGAAAATAAAAATGGTGTCTACAGTTTTTCAACGTTTAATGTACAAGCAGTGTTCTGGATGCGTAATTTTAGAATGTCATGCATATAGTAGAGTTGCACAGAATGAAGTTGCAACTCTATTGCAAAGTAAACAGTTTCATGTTTATCACATGTATGGGTTTGGCTGACCTGAGTGAGAAACCTGTCAGCAGTCACCATACATTACTTTCTCACTTCATGTCTAGCAACTGTGATCCTCCACAGGAAAAGAAAATCAGCGTTAAGTCTAGCGTAATTGTTGGAGTATTTTTATCAATTTAAAATAGACACTGCCAATTTAATGTCTTTATCTCCCTTAGACTATATTACAGTTTGCAAGGTGCTGTGATAGATATATATTGTTTTTTGGTGTGCATATTACTTTAAGCACTACGTTTGCATATATTGTAATGAATCCATAATGATGCAGTATGTTATACTGACAAATGTACTATATACTGCTAGGCACTAGAAAACCAGCTGAAGATCTGTGGCTTTAAGAGCAACGGGGATGTTATAGGATTGTATCTGGCTAGACAGTAAGTAAAATATGTTTCTCCTTTTGACTTTTGCTAAAAGAACACACAGTAAATTGTAACCTTTCATAGTGCTTTCTGTATCAGATACTTTCTGAGCATTCATTTATATGTGAAATACCAGTAAAATGTATTTGTACTTGGTCCATACATGGACATGCTCACAGTGAAGCACTTAACAGCCTCAGCTCTAGATACACCATCCATCTCCAGCAACCCAGAGTTGCTCCAGGGTCTGTGAGTTCACAGAGTTGTGCATGAACTTCTACTACAGGAGCAGAGGAATGAGGCTTGATGGGCTAATCTCTGCCTGTTCTAACTGGCTTGTAAGGCGGGCTGGAAGGACTATCAAGAAGGCAAATGTAAAAAACACAGAACCTGCCCAGTCTAAAGACTGCCAAATTTCTGACCTCCCTGAAGAAATCTGTTACTGCAACAGCGAAACTCATTGGTAGCACCTTTGAAATTACCTGCATCTCTACTGTTAAGAACTGAAGGGAGGGCAGGGCAACATGAAGTGAATACAAGCACAAGAATGCTTGTTTGGGGCAGGCAGTACTGATCACAGAGCTGATCTCCTCTTAGAGCTTTATGAAATAGCTTGAGATGTAGGGCAGATGAGGAGAAGAAGCCGTGCTGAGTGAAGGAAGGCAAAGCTTTCATGAAGCTGTGGGTGATCTAGGTTGATAGAGGTGTATGTTGTAGTATGAACACGCTGAGAAGCTACCATTGAGGGATGGATGCATGACAGGACACACTTCAAAGTTTTTAGAAAGCGTGCTTTGAATTTCTGGCCAGGGCATAATTCCAAGTGTTGCATACCTGTTTGCAGCCTCGCAACTGCATCTACTGTTAGTACAGATGATATCATGTATGGAGAACCAATGTAGTTTAATAATTCAGGGACAAAGTTTTCAAGGTCCCTGGGTCCACTGAATGAAGAAAAAAAGGTATTATGGAATTTCAGTGTTGTCTAGCCTGTTTTTACTGGAAATCAGGTGGTATTGAAAATCTAAATGAGTCCAGTAGTATGTTTGAATTTCTTATCACATCTCCTGATTTACACTGGGAAGGTATTTGATGCTTTGTAAAAAGTAAACGTAAAACATGTAGTTGCTGTCAAATTTCTCTTAAATAAGTATTTTAGAAAGAAGAAAACGTGAAAATTAGGGGGAAAGTTTAAATAATGAGAAAATTACAAGATACCTATATATTCTAACCAAGACAAAAAAATTACCATAATGCATATGCGTAAGAGAATTAAGACTGTGGTCTTATTAGGCACATTTTCTGATTTTAAATGCTTGAATGTATGCCCTTGCTGTCTATGAAATATTTTTTTGTATAAGTAAAAAGAAACTTTCAGATGGCAGATATAGAAGTGATATGTCTTCCCATGAAACTATTTTGAGACAGATGATGCAAGATGGCTTCTTTGATGATTGGAGAGAAGTGAACTTCTTTTATTCTATACCAACTTATTTAAACTTGAACTTCAGCCAAACTCAGTATCAGATCATGCCTCCTTAACTGTTGGTTTGACATATTTTTCTGCTCGCTGAAATAAGAAAGTGAAAAAATAATGATTAAAGTCAATCAAATAAGAGGGAATGAGTTTATATTTTTAAAACTTTATTCTTAAAGGGACACGAATCAATGTAAATTTGGACACTGAAAGCTGTCATCCTAGGAAAACTGATTAACTTAGCAGTAGGTAGAAAAAGAGAGCTGCAGGCCAAAAAGGATCAGTTTATAAAAGACATACAAAGTTTCGAAGGCATCTAGAAAGGGACAGGCTCTTTTAAAATGTTAGAGGAATTAAGCTCTACCTGGGGCAAATTAAATGCCTTAAATACTACCAAAAAAAACAGATCAAGGCTTGGAGGGAGTCAAAATGAGGCTGTTACTAGACAGGGAGTAAAGCCAATTGAAATGTAAACCTGTAAACTAGGTGTAGAATGGCAGTGACAAAGAATATGAGGAAATTTTGGCTTTGCTACCTGAAAAGTAGTGCAGGGGTGTACAGGAGAATTAGATAGTAGCTCTGTAAGAGCTCTGTATGTCCTGTCAACAGTCAACTGCCTGTCTGTGCCACTTGCAGTAATGTCTTTTCTGGTTACTTGTGACAATAGACACAAAAGTGTGTATTTGCAGAGTTAGTTTTTATGGATTATCTGAAGAAGGTGAATAAAGTGTTTAACGAAGTAACAGCATGGGATATTCTGACTTTTAGAAATAAAGACATTAAATAAAGGACACTAAAAGTACCGCACCTCAACTTCACAGGGTTTGCTTTTGACAGACTTATTATTTTCAAATGCAAGATCAGAAAAGGTGTCCACCTTCCCTTTGTCTGTAGCTGGAGGGTGTGTTGAGAAAAACAAACAAACAAAAACAACATGGGAAGCTAGAGACTAGGCTTCACAAATAGAAAACAAACATGGTTTTAGGCTGATGATGTGAGGTTAATTTTTATCCATTCTGTTAGTTCCTTCTGAAACACTGGTCCCAGTCTTGCAACCCATTAAAATGCACAAGGAAATTTTTATTATGTCAATTAAAATTTGTCATATAAAGGTCATCTATAATTATTCTAGTGGAAATTAAGAATATTTATTTAAAGCAATGAAAAATAGAGATGAGCAATTAATGAAAATTACTCAGCAGCTCAGTTATATTCTGTGTAATTTGTTATTTATAGTACACTAACAAGCTCAAAGTGCTAGATACACAATTAAACAAAAAGCCCTACTGGCACATGGGAGAGTTTCAACCTTAGCGGATATACTAAGTTTATGTGAGAGCAAGAGAGGAGTGAGAAAAGGGCAAAGATTTTACAATATGCACTAATATGAAAGATAATAAGAGATATGCTTTGATGTGCTTGTGACTGGCTTCTGTTGGCTTCTCTGGGACTGTGGCTGGGCAATCCCCACTGCACCTTCAAAGCAATTTTCCTTTTAGATTTGTGTCCCCAGGGTGCCAAATTTCTCCTCCGGTGTTTTGAGCAGGATTTCCAAACTGCAAAGTACATAGCATTCAGACTCCCTGAGAAAATAGATGCTATTATGGAAAAACAATTAATTTATCACTTGTTTTGTTCCCATTTCTTTACCACCTACTGCCTTGTTATGCTTGCAAACGTGTAGAGTGCTTACACTGTCTCTACCATCTTGTTCTTTGTGTCTTTCTCTGCTATAACTTCTAAGGAGTGTACCTTTTTAGTCTTTGTGTATTATTTATAAAAAAATTAAACAGTTTATAAAACTATTAAGCACTCTTGTTAAGAAATTTGTCACTCTTTCTTTTCTTCCACCAGAGGACTAAGAAGTATCCCAAGTCTCTCACAGTTTAATAGGTTAAAGTATTTGTGGCTTAACAACAATAAGGTAATAAGATATTAATTTAAAGAGCAGAAAATGTATCTATGCTCCTTGATTATTATTTTGTAATTTTTTCTAATGTAAAGTATTATATAATTGTGAAGCTAATAGATTATTTTTAATTTCCAGGCATATTTTACTGTCAAATGTGAAAATATATATATTTTTTTTACATTACAAAGTGTAAGCTGATATATTTTCCTTTAGATTCACATCAGGTTTATAAATGGTGTTTATTTAAGAAGCTGAAGTTCTGTGCTAATTCCTTAGCAATAAAAAGAAAGCAGTTCCCAGTGTAGGTGGTGTACCCCGCCTAGGAGAGCGGCAGCTCCTGGAACAGACCGAGGGGTGATGTGGCTGTAAGATGGGAGTGGACAGCAGTAAACACGTAGCTCTTGTTTCATGCCCTTGCAGACATGCAGAGTTTATTTCCTGGCAGGTAGTCAAAGTGAGGCTCCTGTCTGCCCTCATGCACACAAGGGTGACATAAAACTCTTTGAAATGAGCTTCTCCCTGTGCATGGGAAGCAGCACTGGAATTCTCAGGATGATGGGATATCTGCTGCTGTTAACACAGGTCGTTGTGCCACCTAAGCTTGCTGGATTTAGATTTCCAGGCAAGCGGTTAGAGTGGGACTACATGAATTTCTCTTGTTTGCAATGGAGTGTATGGCCCTAAATCAGCTACACAAGCTATCTGCCTTACTTTCTCCATCTGTGCAAATCCAGATTACAGCATTTATTATATCTTGTATGGGTTTTGAGACAATGTTCTGTCAAAATCTTAAGGCAGTACAGTTTCCAGCCAATTGTAAGCATGTTGTATGTTACACAAAATCATCTTGACCAGTAGAATTATCTGATTTAGAAATCTCCATATCCAATGCCAACCATTATTAAATGGTTGAATTGAATCTAAATTTTCACCTTTAGCCACTAGTAATTAAAAAACAAGAAAAATAATAAAACCCTAAGAATTCTAACCTGCTTTGAACTATCTTATTTTACAGTAGTTTACATGACTTTCAGAGTGAGCTCAACTTCTTAAAACACCAGAGTTGCTTGGTCAGGTAAATAAGTAGATCTGTGAGCAGCAGAAAAAATAAATTTACATTCCATGTCTCTTTGGAGTGTGTGTATATCTGCTGCCCCAGGCTAACATCAATTATATGGCATCTTATGTCAACTTCATCAAAAGATCTGTGGTTATCCAACTATTTTCAAAAAAAGCAAGAGTATAAATACATTAAAAGTCTGAACACAGATATAATAAGGCTTTTCCTTGTGTTTCTAAAGGACATTAAAGAATAAGAAGAAATGGCCTGATGACTAAGCAGAACTAATCTCGCTGACCATAAAAGATGGATCAATCTGATTTTTGCCCGGATCTCAGTTTCCTACCTAAGCAGTTTTTCTATTCAACTTGAGTGGAGAAGCCACTCAGTGGCTTTTCTTCAGAGAAGTTTCACTTAAATGCTGTGATAGAGGAAACATATTTTTCTGTACTCAATAGTTTTATCACAAAAAAAGTAAATTTCAGGTGACCCTAAAATCAAAACTTGTCAAAGATAGGGAAACAGCACTATACAAGTGAGTGGAAATACGTCTGCCTTATGCTCTTCCTTCCAGCTTTCAGATACTGTTAATGCACAGAGCAAAGCACTTTTGTTTTAGCATCAGTGGCACAATTCAAGGACATTCTCCCACTAGCAAATTTGCACCACAGAATTCAAAGTAGTGTCAGGAATAAAATTTCACTTGATGTTCTTGCATTTAAACTGTAGGATAAAAACTTGGGCACCATTAGTAGTTTGTTATCTCACTGCAGATACTTTACCTTGCACTGGAGGCACTGAGCTCCAAGCAAGGGGATGTGATTTCATAGGGACCAACAATGACTCTTTATGGGAATACATCCATGCATATTATTTGTCCTGTAATTGTAATTGATTCTCTAAATCTGATTAAATGACATTTTTGGAAATTTAGAACAAATATGTGCTCTTTGGACCAGCTGGTCAAGGAATAATTTAAAAACCAGATACTGGATTTATTCCAAGGATATGTTTCAGGAATATCCTTAACCAGCATAGAATTATTATGTCCTACAAGGGTAAATAAAAATTATTTCAAATGTAAATAGAAGGAAAAGAAAATGTGAAAGCCAGTCATTCAAGGAAATCTGTTTCCAAATAAAAATACTAAATTTGTAGTTCAAAAAATTAGGTAAGGCTGTACTGCAGGTATTTGATGTGTAATTAGTATTTCTAATGAAGGTTCAGCTGTCAAGAGAATCCTTAAACCAAGTGTCTTGAACGGAAATATAAGAAACTACCTATAGTTATGCAGTTTTCCAGAGACCATGTTTATAATTCTCCAATATTACATTTAGATTGACATATAAAAGTTTACCTAACTCTAATTTCAGATACAAGATTTAACTTTCTTGATCAAAAACTATTGCTTGACTGAACTCTACCTCAACAATAATGAACTGACAGATATATCAGGTACCAATATTCCCTTTTTAGGTTGTTGAGCAGAGGCCTATACTTTCTTTTCTGTGCATTGGCATTAAAATTTAAAAAACTTGATCATACCAAGTAACTTATTGGTTGAAAGCTCCTATTTATGCATAACAATACATGTTAAGTATTACATATTTAATTGTGCCAGAATACTTGAGTAGCAGTAAGGTGGTACATTCATCGTGGTCTAAGAGATGAAATGTCATTCACTTTATGTCAGGCAACTGTAAAATATTTTTGATCTTACATGCACATTTCGCATATTGAGAATTTATAACCAGAAATGTTTTGCAAAGTTACTGCCAAACTTATTTTATTTCAAAATTGCATCTGTCTTACACTTCTATTTCAGTTTTGCTTGTTGTTGTAGATGAAAGTGGCTGTACCAGACTCCTGAATTTGTGAACAAAGAGGCCAAAGCATAATAAACTTCTGTATATTTTAGACATTTTAAATGTTAATACTTTATTTTTCTCTGTCTCTCTAAAATGCAGGGATTAATGATGTTGATTAGTTTCTGTGAGATTTTCAGAAAAATTAATCTTCAAAATACAAACATGGATAAAAGAGACAATACAGATGATAACAAAATGTGGGTAAACACAAGGGTATCACTTATAGGGAAACATGGGTAGGAAATATTGCCTAGAATTTGGAAAATGTGACATCCAATCCTGATGTGGTGTGAGGATGTGAACAAATAGCCTGAGACAGCCACAGCAATATTTTGTAATAACTTTTTAACACGTTAATTACTTGAAACTGAACTATTTTCTAAGGAATTCACTATTTATTATTTGAGAGGCAAAGGGTAGTATTAGTGATATACTATTGTGAGTCAAAGAATTAGGTCAAGGAAGTGAATTAATCAAGGATTACTGGGATATAGGAGGAAGGAAGGAAGGAAGAAGAGAGGTTGCAGTTGATGCTGATTTGTTGATGCAAGGGTAATGTGGGCAAATGGAAAGAACTGGAATGAAAAAAGGCCTGTGTTTAAAGGATGTGATTTGAAATATGAAAGGGATATTGAATATCTCTAATTTTTTTAAAAATTAATATCTCATGCAGTGTGTTACCAAAAGCAAGCATAGATAGATAACTAAAATATCAAATTCAGTGTGCAGCATAACAAAATAATTATCTAATAGAAGCAGTCTGTTATGGTGAGAATGATTAATTATTTTTCTTTTCATTTCAGGTGCTCTGAAACACTTATGTTCATTACAGATTCTGTTTCTTCACAACAACGAGTTAAAGAAACTTGGCAAAACAGTGAAGGAATTGAAAGGAATGATAAGCTTGCACACTCTAAGTAATACCTTATTTTGATTCTGCAGAAGAACTTTTAGTTTCTTACCGGGATGTTTCTAGTCTGTTTCTGCATCATTTGCCAATAGCTTTTGAAACTAATTATCAGTTTCAACCAAATTTGACAAATTTGAAGAAAGAGATCTCTAGGACATGAAAATTCCACAAAGAGTACCTCAACTGAGAAAAAAAATGCTAAGTGAGTTCAGAAGTTAACTCTTTTTGGCCCCTGACTAGCCAATATCCTGGATGAGTAGCTTGGAGGGTGTCAAAGCAGTTTACTGCTGCCTCTTTGTAAGGTAACACAGGAGTACAGTGAGACTGTTGTAGAGGTAATGTTTAAAAATAGGTGTTATTGTTGTTGAGAGTGTGAGTGATAGGTCATAGAACCCAAACTCCTGCCTCGTTAATTCTGTTGTTTATAGAACTCCCTCTCTGCATCCCTTTGGCAGACTGTGGATTTCTAGAATCTAAGAATAAATGCACTTAGGTATTCTCCACAACAACATTCTTATGTTAAGTGGCGTATTTTCTGATGCACTGGCTGGAAGTGAAAACAGCGCCATCTTGAAGTTTCAAATTAAGTTACACAAGACATTGTTGACGCCACTACATTACAATGCAAGAAATAGCCTCCAGGGAAAGTAGGATTATGTGCTATTAAGATACTGAACATGAAAATGCAAGCAGTGTTTTCCGTGGCTCCTAAAGGAATGTCAACACAGGTCATGACAGACGCTCAGTACTTGGAGAAAACAGGAAACGATTTTCACACCTTAGTGACAGTTAAGGAGGTGAATGTCACCAGGCCATAACACCTCCTTAAGCATTCAGAAAACTGAATGTCTGATTGTGGGAAAGGAGAATATGACTTAAAAAGTACACTTTTAATTGAATTTGACACTGGGCCATAATTAAAAAACAAATAAAGTGTTTAGGAAGACAAAGTGTCAGCCAAATTATATACAAGACAGGAAAAATAGTCCATTTAAGAATGCAGTTGTTTGAAGTGATTAAGCAAAGTCTGGACGGACATCCTATGTATGAATGGTGCAGTCACTTGAATTTAATGTTAGCCCTACAAATTAATAAGGAGCTTCAACAAGCACAGGAAGTTTGTTGTACTTGTTGCAACCATCTGTGGGAAATACATAGCAGATAGTTAAAGTGCTGCTGAGTTATTATGAATGGCAGTCACAAAGGCACAGTGAAAACTGGGTGCAAATTGGACTGCCCACCACCATAGAAAAGCGTTTGAAGGAGCAATCAAACAATATATAGAATATACCAATCTACCCTAATTAAAAAAAAAAAAATGTTCAAAGATTTGTACAAGAGTAAACACTAACAGTGGAAGAAGCTTAATAATCTCAATAACCATAACTTTAAAGTAATTTCTTCTTTACCTTTGCAGTCATGGAAAAATTGTAAATGGGTTTGTTTCAAGAAGATTTAATAGTAATGAGTTCTCAAGTTACCAGTACTCTATTTATTTCATAAAATGCACTGTCATATTTGAAGTAAATTACGTCAGTAAATGAACAAAATAAATTTTAAAAGTCTTATCCTATATATCATATTACTATATAATTTCTATGCCTCCTTGCAATATTAAGAAATATGAAATGGATGCAGAATTTGCATTGGGTAGCTTTGAAAAGGGCTGTGCCCAGAACTAACTTTTATAAAACAAAACCAGTGACAGTTCTCACTGTTATGAGGTAGATCTTTTTTATTGCGAGACAATCTGATTAAAAAAAACCAAAAAAAAAAAAACCAAAAAAAAAGCCCCAAACACTTGCTAGCCTTCAGCTGAGCTCCTGGATGCTTAAAAAGATTTTATAATTTTGTAGCTCTTGGGGACAACAGAACTATTAAAACACACTATTAGTGTTCACTTCAGGAGTAGCATCCAGCTGCCAAAATGTTGCATTTCTCTTCTTAAAGTCTCTCTTGTGATTTTTAGCCACTGCCTGCACTGGATGTGTAGCAGAACACCATCCTTCACCTGGCCTTTAGGGAAGACACTCAGCTTCGGAAGATTTACTGCACGTGTTGCTCACAACTGCAGCCTTTGGGAGACACGGAGGGTTTCTTTATGGGCTCACCTTGTATTCACGTCTCCCTTTTGGAATCCAAGGTTTTTGCTGTGTACTCTGTAAATTGTCTCAACTGATTTATTGCACTCAGCTGATAACATCCTGCTGCTAGACCTCAGAAAACTCTGTTCTTCACTATGTTTCTGCCCCATGTGGCATAGGCACACTGTTTTCCTACACTCCAAATAGAGAAAACAGACAAAACCATGGAGGAAGAAAGCATTATCCCTAATTTGTAGAAGTAAAACTGCATGACCTTGACAAGAAAGTAGATAGCTGAGCCAGGAATTAATCCCAGATGTTTTGTAAAACAAGACCATCTTGATCTGTTCAATGGCTGGATTTAGTGTAAAAATAAGCAAAAAAATTCACATTCTATAAAAAACCCCTACAAATCAGTGTTGATGAGGAGGGACGTGATCCAAGTAGCATTCAGATTCACAAGTGCTTAGCATCAGTCCTGGTCTGTGCCTTGGAAAAATCTTTTTTGAATCTTTATTTCATTCCACTACCAAACATATCTATTTTTAGAGATCTTTCTGAAACATTTTTCTCTCTGGAATGCTATTGCATATTTTCTTGTCTCAGGAACAGAACTATCAGATATATGCATAATATTCTTTCTGATCAACACTTTCTGGAAAAAAAATAGCTATGTACTACTTTGTTCAGTAAAAATGGAACTTTCTTTTGCTGCCACCTTGTGGGTTTCTTACTAATTTTAAGTCAGTGACTTATAAAAATTTGTTTAAGAATTAAAATATTTTAAGTTCTCTTCTAAACACGTGAACAGGTGTTTTCTGTGCAGGAGATACCAAAAATGCCTGTTCCTGCCTTACTGCATCCTCAAAATAACTGCTAAATCCCATCAAGCACTGACCTCCCTTTGGCAGTCATACTTGTCCTGAAGAAAATGTAATGGCATTTTATAGTTTAGAAATCCATGTGGAATATTTTCAGACTTTTTTCTTCTTCTAGTATCTCTTATTTGCTTCTGTAGTGCCATCTTCCTCCCCCCCAACTGCTAAAATTACATATAACAGGATTTTTTACCCTAGAGTGAGTATTAGCTACAGCCTCTCCTCAAAAAGAGAAAAGCAGATCCGTGCAGCAGAAGTTTGTCAGAATTGTAGCAGAATTGTCAAAATTATTGATTTTAAGATTTTTTTTTTCTCTCCTCTGATCTCAAGGTGGCAGCCTCCTGATTATTTTTACTGTCTTAGAATAACAGCATTTGGTAAAAGAGAAAAATAGAATTATTATGTCTTTCATTTAGAAAAAAGCCCCACCCTACAACACTTGTTTGTTTGTTTGTTTGTTAGCTAACCTGGAAATAAGGCAGTTTCTATTTTAATCGATCCTAGATATCACAGTCATGAAATAAACTGATTTGGCATGTCAGCTAGGTAAGTGTTCCACCTCTGGCAAAGCAGCAGCACAGGATTGATACCTGTCTCTGTGTTGCAAAGCTTTGGCTATACAGGTAAAGTGAACCTGAACATAAGCATTCTTGTCAAGTTGCTAATGGTCTTTTGTAGCTTAGTATCTCAAGGAAAGCTGCTGGGGACCCATGTTCTGAAGAACTTAGATTGCATTAAACATTTTACTCTTAAGTTTCTTGAGTTTTCAAACTCATCATCTGTCAAAACATCACAAGACTGGGTATTTTATATTGTGTCTATGGGATAAAGCACCTTGATATCAGCTCTGAAAAAGCCTTAGGTGTCCTAAAGCTCATCTGATTTTAATAACTCCCTCCCCCTACAACTTTTATGTCTTACCTTTAAGCTGTCACACTCAAAAGACCACTGTTATTTAAAATAAACATCAGCTAAAAATACATAAGAAAATCAAAGGCAAGCACCTAGTGGAGTTTTTTTCTGTATATCTTAGAAAACAGAAAAAACCTCAGAGGTTTGGAGTGCATGATGACACCTTTACTCAGTTCTTGCCTGTGTTGTTTTGCATGCTCTGCAATAAGCCAACTTGAAGTCCATATTTAGTTATTTCATGCATGTAAAGAGATGGTGCTTTGTTTGCCCAGAAGAACAATTTGAATTTGATAATATTTTGTACAAAATCTTTGGCTCCTAGTGATCTTTAATTTTCTTGCCTTGCAAAGTTTTTGTTCTTTCGCTGGGTTTGGTTTTTTTGTGATGCTGTTTGTTTTTTGTGTGTACATTTTGCAGACCTATTCCAAAACCCTCTGGCATGTGATCCAGACTACCGGCTTTATGTGATTTACATCCTTCCTTCAGTTCAGCTCCTTGACAGGAAGTGTAAGGATTGCTTTCCTCTTCTCACAAAGCATTGACAGTTGCTTTTGATTTTAATCAGTTTGGAAAACCAGGTGAAATTATCCTGCCTGTTCTTTTACATGCATTTTTTGATAAAGTGAAAGATCTAATGAGCAGATACCCATTTTTTGCAAGATTTGTCAAGTAAATAGAGTTTGCATGGCACGAACAGTTCACTTTGTCAAAGGCTTTTGATTTCTCTCTTTTCAAACCGTGTATGCTCTTCTTGCATCTTGGTCTATTTGGGTAAGACAGACAAAAGCCTATGCTTAGAAACATGTACATACATTTGTGCATTCTTACTGTCGTATTCACATGGGTGAGTGTGTTTACTTAGGTATGGATAATATCCTCAGCCAACTACATGTTTCTGTACCGTTTAAATATGCACATTTCTTGATTAGGAAGATTCAGGCCATGCTTTCAAATATAAATATTCATAAATCATCGTGAGCTCTTTCACAGATTGCCTATTGTAAATTCTACAGGAAAAAAATGTCTAAAGAATAGCCAGATGTTAAATCAGCGAATCCATAAACATGTCACAACAAACCCAGAAAATCACCTTTGGCAATTTTTGCCTCTGGTGTTGGAAAGCTATGTGATTGGCAGGAGGACTAAAAATGACTAGAGAGCCCTGAGAAGGGGGTTGATTCCCGCCCCAGCTCTACCTTTAAGAAAGTAGCAAGGAAAAACAGGGCCATCTTGAAAACCTGCTCCCAGTCTCTAAGAGAATTAGGACGTAGGACTTGAGCAAGGCAGATGCAGGACATCTGCAGGTGCTGGAAGACTGTGCAGCTCTGTCATGAAGGAGAGCTGGTGGATGTGCCACAGGATGTGCCAGGGGTAGATGAGGAGCTGCTGGATCTGACCACGTGGCCATTTGCTTACACTGTCAGTTTGCACTGGTACCTCCAGTCTGGAGTATTTGGTCTCGTGTTACAGCTGTGCTTAACACGTCTGTCAGACTGTGTTACTAATGATCACTTTAGACTGGGGAGTGATGAATGAAGCTTAATGTACTGAAAAATATGTGTTGCATTTACATGTCTAGAAACACTTCCATAAAACTTCCTGGACTTAATCTCCTAAATACAGTTCTACTGTAATCAGTCCTGGATTAAGCCTTGCAATTATTTGTATCAACCTGTATCCTGGACTACCTACTTAGTGAACTATTTCTCTAACATTACAAAGCTTCTTCACCATCTGTGGAACGTTACCACAGCATAGTCCTGGCTGTCACCTTTACACGAGACATGTGCTCACACCTGTTACCTTCAGGCGTGACTACTGCAGTTCCTTCCTAATTGGTCCCCTGGACACCATGACTCCAAAACTTCCCTGCATTCAAAATGCTTCTGCCAGTTACTTGTTCTAAAGCTTTAGCTCACTTCTGTTCCATAGCTGAAGTCCTGGATTAGTATAAAGTTCACATAATTGAAGTTACCATCCCCAATTTGATTTGACAACCTTAAACTATTTGTTTAAAATTTAAAATTATTTTAAATTAAAGTGCAAAACAGGAAAATTTCCAGCTTTTTTCTTGATTGCACTCCTAGAGTTTTCTCTGTAATTGACCAGTGGGAATTGAACTGGCCTTAAACCAGGATTTGGTTTTGCTATTCATAAAGAAACTTGAAAATCTTTACTGACTTCTGCAGTAGATCTCATTTAAGTAGTAGAAAAGTCTAGCTTTTTAGTTTATTGGTTTAAAACTTGTGATCCTACTGCACTCAAAATATTTTATTGTACAGGGCTTCACTCTAAAGCCTTAGAAAGTATCACTCCGTGTTCCCCTTTTGAATTGTTGTGAAATGATGTAACTTACACTGCTATGGTTACAAAACTCCCGGCACTAAAAAAGTGAATCACCTTTTGCATGCTGCCTTTTCAACTGGTAGAAAAAATTTTTTTATATCCCCTTTACAGTAGTTACACAAAGAGAAAGGGAATCAGCATTTCATCTTTATAACCCTGAAAGGTCTCTGCTCGTGCAGTCCATAGCTTTTGGGAAGAGAGTAAATACACCCCTGGGGGCTCCACTGGGATCCAGAAGATGCATTCAACCAGCCAGAAGACTGATAATGCCCTCAGGTATTTAGAATAATAGAAGGAAAAGCATACATTTTAGGTGATTTTAATTAGAAACAGGGTTTTTTCATTCATCTGATAAGAAGTTATTGGTTTTAGTAATTAAATATAAATGCATCAGGAACTCAACCAAATTGCTTCGTAAAATAGTAGTAGCAGCAACAGGAAACAAATGAATCCTTACACTGAGAGTACTGATGAGCAAATAAATTCTAATCACTCCCTGTAGTTACAGAATTACCTTTAAAGACAGATGAATAATTAAAAAAAAATGTTTCCCCAGTATGTGTCTTGTGTTTGGTTTTACTTTTATTTAATTTAAAACATCTCAATACACTTCTAGACCAGTGACAGCATCATAGACTTTTGATGCCCTCTAGTGCTTTCATAAAATAATCTCTCAAAGAAAGTATTTTCTTCTAGTGTTTTAAATTTTATTGTAACTAGTTTTATAAGCAGATTCCTTTTTAGGCTTTCAAAGCTGAGAATATTTTAATGATGTCTTATAATAGCATATAAGGCAATTTTTAGAGTTCTTAAAACATTCAGATCTGGAAGACAGCATGACCTTGGCACAAGAAAGCAGGTGAATACCACCAGGAACCTTTTGACATGTACTGTATCACAATCCATAGCAGACCTTGAAATCACACACAATCTTGTCTGCTTTTTTGATGTTTAAGATAAGAAAAACAATATTGTGCATAGGTGACTGAAAGAATAGCATTTTAAAAAGTAGTGTAGATGAAGTTTGGAAAGTAATAAAATACCAGCAAGTTTTTTTAAATATATGTATCACAATAGCAAAGCTGAAAACAGTGTATTTACAGTAATTTTGGAGAGGTTGGGAAAAGGAGGATATTTGATAATATTTAATAATTTATTTGTTTTGCTGATGATTATCAAAGTAGGTGTACAGTTGTCCTGATCTCTGCTATGCAATCATTCACTTAATAGAGACAGTGGCATCATTTTCTGTGAAAGAAAAAGGGCATGGAAATGTATGCCTATGGGGAATAAGAACTACATAAACTTAAAAAAATTCCAACAGGTACTTGCTCCCACAGTAATTTAATAAAAGGTGATCTTAAACATTTCAAATCATCTGCTAGTTTTCAATTAATTTGAACATGCAAATTAGGATCAGGATGGTAATCCTGAGCTACTCAAACTGCTGTACAGCCATTAATATCTTAATTTGAACTTTTTGTTATAGGTTGTGAATTTGCAGATAACACAAATAAGTAAGTAATGTTTTTGATTTATTTTCCTTTTGTCACTCTGAAGCATTTACTGAATTTCCTCTTCTGGTGCCTAAAAAAATACCCTAACCAGAGAAAACATCCAGTAAAAATGAGCTTTCAAGAAAAATGTCAGGCCTTCGTATTTAATATAGTTGCAACTGTATACTATTCTGATGAGATAACCTACCTGCTGGTGTCTGAAATTTAATATTGAAAGGTATTCCACGTTTGGAAGTGGGTGCATACAACTGCCATTTATTTGTAAGATCAAATACTGATCACTAGAAAAAACATGCTCTAAGTATTAGAGCATCAGAATATCTGTTCTGTATTATGGCCCAGAAAACATTCTCCTGAGTGGCTGTTCAAAAATACATTCTCTCTGAAAAACATTGCGACTTGAAGAATAAAACTTTTTTAGTCTGTACTTGATTTTTTTTTATTCTTTCCAGTTTCAAAATCATGGAAATAAATGCAAAACTTACCTCTGTTATCTCTGTTGATGGAGGCAGGAGAAAGGTTGCATTTGATGTGATGACACTGCAGATGCAATCTTTATATGAGTAAATTTACAGACTTTAGATGTCAGGCTTGGTTTTACTTTCTAGCTTTACACATGAAAAGATTTGAAAGGAAATAATAAAACCCTACATATCCTATGTATCCTTTGACAGTACTGAGTACAGCTATTTAAAATCAAGCTAATCTGTGTTGAAAGATTAATTCTTAGCTGCTTTCAGTGGAGTTAGCTGTTCTCATTGGTAGAATGGGTGTACGGCTTCCTTGAGTCTTATTTATGTACGTGCCAAGGCTTTGCAAGGTGCCTTTTCATGACCAAGTGCATTAAACTCAGTGTTTATAGTCCTGGGGTTCATATTAGGTGTGTCTACAGCCACACCTCTAAGAATTAAGTTCTTTTAAGATTAAGATTTAATAGTGTATCTGAGTTGGAAGGTTTTGGTCTAACACAAAGTCCTCCTCAATCCTACACTGACGCGCATCTGCCGCTTTCCTCTCCCCGACTACAGCTGTGGCAGGATACAGGAGCAACACAAGCTCACAGTGTGCTGGATTCAGAGCTTGGAGAAGGGAGATTTGCCTGAGGGCTAGTTAAAAGATCCACAGCAAAATAAATGTGCATTTGCATTAATTGGTATCAAATTGCTTGAATCATGTCCACTGAAGCAGAGCACTAAAAGTACACAATTATAATTTTTGTGGGAAAAAACTGAAAAATATTGTTTTGTTGCAATTTAACTATAAATGTATTTTAAATAATTTATACCTGATTTTTTTCCCATTAGAATCCTCTGATTCTGACCTTTTCTCATTTTGTTTTGCTTTTCTGAAATTTGGTAAAAGAAGAAAACCTTCTGAAAATTTTAAATTTTCAAATCCTCAGTGTTAGTGTCATCATGACTGCCAGCTTCACTTTCTACACTGTGTGTTGTATGTTAGTTCCAAAGTAGTTTGGAAACATTCAGATAATGGACATTTGCTGTGTTCTTTTTGCAGAGTACCATTTGAGAACCCTGAAGATGCAATTTTAGTACGGGCAATGACAAGATCTCTAACAGAATTTTCCTTTGTGGACTGGAACAAGGTAGCCACCTGTCAAGAAAGACGTCTTCAAAATAAAGCAGAAGCCCTTGAGAAGCTGACAGTCCAATTTAGATGAGTCCTTTCTTCCTTAAGGAAAAAACAGTTCCTCTAGGGTGGAGCCCCATAAGTAGGTTAACACCTCTATAAACAAGTACATGACAACATGCATCTAATTAAATGAATTTCCAGAAAAAAACCTGTGTAATATAGTGAAGAATTAAGATAACAAATGAAAAATGTCAATGTTACAATAAAAGTTGCTTGAAATGCAATTCTTAGCATACTTTTGTTATCAGAAATACTAAAGCTAAACTGCATGCTAATTTTTAAGAAACTAAGGATAAATATTTTAATTGCTTATAGTGCTGGAGAATTAAACTTATCGTGTTCTCTAACATTAATTTGCCTTCTTCCATCAAAATAAAGATATGAGAAAGCAACCATTAAGCTCTTCTCATTTCTGAGAGGCATTCAAGTTTCAATTGGCTAATTTGTGTGCTGCTTGAATGTGCCGGAAACTCCTAGTCATATGAGGATATGCATTTGATCCCAATATAGTGGATCCATGAGCTCTTAAGCATAGTGATGCCTCTCTCTTGTCTGTGGTTGCTGATACTCTCCCAGGATGCAGGCCTGTGCTCACTTGTCATTCTGGAGAGACAGGACTTGCCCAGGACACTGCCCCAAGACTGCTGGACTGGTTTAACTCTCTTTTATAAGCACGCGGGTCACATGGTGCTGGAGCATTACACCTGACACTTTTGGCTTTTAAACCTGTTACCAGTAAGGAAGCCAGTGGGAAGTGTGTATATTGATGGAAAATAATACATTTCCTCACATATTTATCCCTCCATTCTGCCACAGGCAGTGATGCCTTTTAACACATCAAAGGCCTTCTTTAGCCTGTGACTTGTCCTGTGAGTCCATCCTTCTCTCCTAAGTTACCACAGAGCCTCAGAACAGTCTAAATTGGCAGGGACCTCTGGAGATTATCTAGTCCAACCCTCCTGTTGAAAGCAGGTTAGAGAAGAGGGTGTCTGGTGGCCTGTCAAGGGCAATCAAATATTTTCAGTGAGTGAGGCACCACTGCTGAGAGAATGAAAGTTGGATTTGTGCTGTGGATTTTAGCACACTTCCAAAACCCTGACCCTTTTGCCCTGAAGGGCTGGCATTTTCAGAGACTCCTTGAAGAGCAACACATCCCTTTGGGCCCCAAATGCTACATATGGAACAGGGAACCAGCAGCACTTCTGCATTCCCAAACCCAAGAGTGGATGGTGACTACAGCATGACTCCAGATCTAAGTTCCAGGCAGGCATCTCTTGCTTGCCAATTGTCACAAACTTAAACTCGTACACTCAAGCTATGGGAGGTCCCTGAATGTCACATGAGAACGTCACCGTGTGTCCCAACAGGTGTTACAGACCCAGTAAACAGAACTGTCACACAGACCCCTTCTTTTAAAAAATTTCCCTTTATTCTTCACAATCTGCTAATCCTTGAAATTAAAACACAGGTACATTCCCTGCACAGGTGCATTTATGTATCCTCACTTGTACAGTTTTCAGAATACTAAACAAAAACTTTTCACATATTAAGTAGTAAAAAAATTAATAGCTTTTTCCCTCTGTTTTGAGGAGGGTCCTTACTCCTCCAGCTAGAAGAATATTGCCATGTTCAAGACACCAGTTACTCAGCCAACAATAAGACAGTCTCCAATTTTGCCATCCTTATGCAGCAAGTGATATTTTCTGTTGTGCAATTCCCACGGATTTCATGAGACACAGTAATAAATCTGAGTGAAAAGCATAGTTATTAAGGGAAGCTATTTTCTAGATCTGGTATTTAGCTGAAAGCCAAAGTGAAATCCCAGCTGTATCAATGCACACATGAATTTCCCCATCTGTGACCAGGTTCAACATGAAAAATATTAAGCATTTTTTACATTTATGAAATAATTCATTAAGAATTCATAAGCAACATCTGAGTGTACTCTAAGTTATTTTTACCTGAAAACTGATTTAGAAACCATTAATCTCATCAGTCAAAATACTTTGAGTCATTCTGGTCTTCCCTTCATTAGACTTTGGAATATTTCTGACCAAACCAATAGTGAAATAATACTGTTGAAACACAAATTTCACCATCAGCTTGAGACACCTGAAACAGTAGTTTCATTTACTAAAATTGCCACAAAATAGACACTATTATTGTGCTCTCACTAGCCAAAAATATTTACAGTAATGCCATGAAAAGTTGAGAGTTCAGATGAGTATCTTCAGAAGTTTAACTGCTACTGAATTCCTTCATATAAAGCTTGCTAAAGTGGTGAAAAAAGGCAATTTAACAGTTGGTTTTCCAGTGCTTTTAACTACAGATCTATGTACTTGCAGGAAGAAATACTTAAATTACAATGAAAGTAAATTTTAGGTTCTGAAAACATGAATAATCCAAAAAAAAGCTTTTCATTTTTCTCTAAGTGGTTCATTAACCAGAGATACTCATAGAATTTCACTAGGCTTACTGCTGGTATACATACAGATGGATCTATGCCACTCTAGCTTTTAGCAGATAATAAATACCTATTTTGATAATTTACAACAGAATCTGGAGTATTTATAGACAAAGTAGCCATTATTTCATCTCATGATGAACAGAGACATTCTGTCTTTCAAAGGAAGTCTTGCATAAGCCATGATCTAAGAACTCAGACATGGTCAGCATAAAAAATGTTTAGTACCCTTGAGAATCCTCAGTCCCTTCCTACCCTTTCTTACTCCTCAGACTCTTGAATGTTCTGAAGATTAATGTCAGCTGAGACAGTCTCACTTTCCAGTGGACTTTCAGGGTGCAGGGCTAGTGCCTCCATCTCTTTGGTAATTTCAGGTTCTTCTGTTCGGTCAGTAGGATTATTTGGATCAACTCCTTTTGTAGGATCTGGAGCAGGATCTGACTGTTGTTCGCTTGTAGAACTACTCTCTACTAGTTGCATTTCATCTAAGCAGAAGAGAAATCACACAATTAATAACTGAACTCATTTGCAAAGCAAACATTTTCATTCCTGAAGAACAATAAATGGTAGGACACTTTGCATCAATTACAAATTATTAATTTAACCAAACTTCATGGAAAACAGACTCAAACCACTAAAGTTCTGTTTAAGTTGGTTATATATATATAAAGGTTACTCTAAGTAACCCTACCTAAAGCTCTCATTAATTTATCTTCAATTTTGCCACACTTCTTTTTTAATATACAGAAGAGCAGAGTAGAACACTACAGTTATTTTGACTTTCAATTCAAATGTGTTTATTGACACTATTCTTGCCATAACCTTTTCAAAGAATGGCTGCAGGCTGGTTAAACACAGAGTGCAGGTGAGTTTGGTTTTTAAATAAAAAAGGCATGTATGTGACTACGTAGGAAGCATTTTTGCATGTAACAGACTGAAGAAATGATCTGCTAATAAACAGTTGACCACAATGAACTTTGGCTGAAGTGAGTCATCCTAGAATTAAGAACTTGACTGCATGGAATGGCATCAGCTATCGTACCTTTACTTCTCAAGCAATGTTTTTGGAGGAAAACCATTGTTAAATGACTTTTTGCCCTGATTCTGCTAAGTAGGGCTTGTGTGCTAGCAATTCTGAAAAGCACGAGGGAAAAGCCTAATTGAGACCAGGAGCAGTTAAATCTTGGTTTCTTCTTGTTATAATTGACAGTCAGCCAAAAATTCTGTCACAGCCAGCCACAACCCTGCCACAAGACCGTGGCAAAGCCCTGCCAAGGCCTTACATGGCTATGGAGCTAACGGCATTAAGCACAGGCTGAAGTGTGGACTTCCTTAACACTCGCCCTTGTACACTGGAAACTCTTAAACTCTTGGGTTTGCCTGTAGTTGCAGCTGTGGCTTTTTTTTTTTTTTTTTTTAATTTTTAGTTTCCTTATGTACAGTATTTTAGGGGGTTATTGCTAACTTTCTGAAATAAAATTGTTGTTGATATGAAGTGCTCTGAGACAACAGCATTTATGAGGTGACCTGAAGCTCAGATGAATTCAGTGGTTTGCTCATAACACATAATCTGATAAGGTCTATAGCGTGCTGGCCATACACCTGAAAAAGTTAATGAAGATTACCATGTAGACAGCGCAGTAGCAACATATCAGAAAATGTTAAATTCCCTTTTTTGGAAGGGAGGGAAAAGAGCAATCCACCAAGATCCTGTCCTTCCCTCTGAAGAGGATGGCACCTGGCCACCAACTCCTTCAGTAAACATGAACCTGCACGTGTGTGTTTGTCACCAGTGCGAGGCATCACTGCTCACAGCTCATTATGTTTTGCTGTACTGGTATGCAATATAACCAGGGATTTCTAGTAACCTTGCCTCCAGCTTCTACAGTCATCCTGATGCCATGCAACAGCAGCTCTTGTTATAACAGGATCATCACAGGAAGCTGTTGAAAACTGCAATTACTACTAATTTATTAGTATTTGATGTCCTACTATAGTCTTTTGAGTAGAGCTGAAATGAATTGTAAGACAAGTGTGATTTGCTCAAGGCACTTCTACAATCCCTAAAACAAGGGAAGGAAAATCCAGTAAGTCTAAAAGAGAAAAAGTGATTTTTCCTATTATTTCACTTAGATAAACATTGCATCAGACTTGAGTTACGGGAGGTGGCAATACAGCGTTTTTCCTGTTATTAATTATTTGCTTCTTGAAGGGAGAAAACCACCATGAACAGTTTAAAGACTAATGCTTGCTTACTTCACATTCTAAGTGCACAACACAACTCAATACTGTGATTATGAAGAGAAAGTATTATGGTAGAATTAACAGTACATTAACCTTTAAAACTGGAAGGATCAGATTGCTTGCTTATTATCCAACTTGCCCTAACACCTCCAACAACACATAGAGCAGCACAAAACTTCTGCATGAGCTTGATTAAAGATCTGGATTTTGAAAGAGTGCAGTGTAATTCAGAATGCTTTAGTTGCAGAATCCTGTATAACTGTAGTGTTAAAAACCAGGATTAGAATGTACACAGTGTATTGTAAATTGAAGACTAGAATCCCAGCAAACGCAGGCTTGCTGTTATGTTACATCAAAGATTTTTCTCCCAACCTCAGCTGTTACAGTTTTAAGACCTGTTAAGTTGCTCTATGTGGTGCAGTTAATGCACAATTAGCTTCTGCAAGCAAACTAAAGATTCTAACCTTTCTTTTGCTTCTTTTCTTGTTTCTTTTTCTCTTTGGCAGCTTCTAGTTCCTGTTTCTCGTGAATTTCCTTCAGAGTCTTGCAGACTTTTTTGTGGGTAAACCAGTGTATTTTCTGGCAGTTCTGGTCACAGTACATCACCTGAAAGTTACCAGAGTTATCAACTAATTTTCATGCACTAAAAAAATATACAATATTCTTGCATTACTTAGTACATCAAGTTACTCTCTATGTATAGCACTTACGGGTATTTTTAAGCAAATTGTAAGGTCATATGGAGTCATTCTAACCTATGTAAGAATCTATAAAGAACAGTTTGTTTTATTAACTCTAAACATACAGAAAATTTACTCTTTCTTCATTCTTAAGCATACACACTTGGAAATCCCAATACTCCTACACGTGAATTTCAAGCATCCTTCCCAGAAGTAGATGGCTTGAACATTTTCAGTGCAGGCACCCATGCCACTCCTCCTAAGTCTACACAGGAAATAGGCAACCACTCAAAATTCTTAGCACCTCAATGGCACTATTTTTTGGATTCTTACCATTTTACATACTGAACATCTTTTGTCTGCTCCCTTTCCCCCACAAGTTGTACAGAATTCAGCATCCACAAAACCCACTTGGCCAGTAATCGCTTGTGTAAGGACAGAAAAAGCTGTAGGGTCAGAGCCCTGAAAGACACGACAACAGGTGGTAATGAGATTAAAAAGAAGCACTGTTGCAAACAGGGACACACAAGGGAAAAGCAAAATGATTGGACAGGCTTCTGTCTCACTGAAGCTGCTGCAGCAGCAAGAACATAAAACTAAATCACAGAACTTCACAGAACTTCAACTAGCATGCACAACTTGACGTTCATATAGTTAGGTAAACTTCTGTATATGAAGTTAACTTAAGCCCTCAGCTTCTGTAGAATTTACTCTGTAACTTACAAATGATACTATTAATGAAGTCAGTGTTCTTTACACACAGTCATCCACTTGTAGATCCTATGAAGCAGATTTCTGCAGATCGGTCTGTGCTGGCACATACAAAGATGTTTCACTTGCCACTGATATACTGTTGTGCACTCAGATGCTACTTGAAATGTTCAAAACAATTATTTGCATATTACTATTTAGATCTTATTTGCAATTCTTCCCATGCAATGCAAGCAGTAGGATTTAGTATATTTTATTGGTAACCATAAATTAAGACTATTCTTTTGGACAATAATGTAAACATTAGAGAAAAAAAATGCCAAGTAAATCCTTAACCAGCTCTAAGTAAATCCTTAAACCATTAGACTACCATGGAATATGCACAATCATAACTCCTGCGACAACACTGCGATGCCCAGACTGAGTCCAAGTACTTGTGCACTGACAAATGTCAAAGGCTTCCCACCAAATAAAAATTATAGCCTCTCCTCCTTTCCAGTTCTACATAATGGACAGAAATCCAATGGAATAAACAATCATTTTTTTAAAGGCAGAAAAGGCTGCAAGCTCTCCTAAGTGAAAAGGGATAGGAAGGAAAATGTTTGCTCTAAAGCAAGTCATAATGCATCACGATGGCTTATGTTTTCACAGTGTTCCTGGCTTAGACAAACAGCAAAAATTGCACTAAATCTCAGGATATTTTAGCAGACCTGGAGCCACTTAAGATGGAGGCTATTTTTAATTTACTCAGCATAATCCAAACACGTTGCAAAATCATTCCACTTCCCCAGCATTTGTGGATACAACATCTCGCTCTCAGAGACCAGAAAGAACATACTTGAAAAAAAGAACAGTAACTCTTGAAAAATTTATTACGAAGTAATAAGTAGTACTATAGTGTAGTGTGTTAGCAAGAGCACATGAGGAAAACTGAAGTTAGATTTTTTACTTGTAATTTTGATTTCCTAATTTAGATATACATGTTGCTGCACATTGCATCATCCTGCCTCTCTCTGTGATAAAAGGAGCCTCACAGAATGTTTTTTTTTCTGCTATCATATATTACCAACTTTTTGTGTACAGTGGAACTAATGAATGCATTAAATCTAGGAAATTATTCAATCTTAAACTGAATTTAGACATTGTGAAAAAGAGTGCAAGATAAGCTTCATCTGTGTCTGAATCTACAATTCCTAAAAGTGAACTGGCAGAGAAAAACTGAACAGATGTCCCAGAAAAGAAAAAAAAAAAGCTCTGAGACAAGAAACAAATGGCTTCAGTTTTCTTTAAAAGCTGAGGTGTTTAAGCATTCATTATTGGCACATACCAGTTGAAGCAGTTTAGAACATTTTCCTGCAATATGTAAATCAAACTCCAGTTAGCCATGAAGTTCAGGGACATCAAAAACCTGGGCTTAATATAACACATTGCAGAAGCTGAGAAGAGAAAAATGGCTCAAACTGAATTTACTATGCAAGGAGCTTAGAAAGCATTTCCTTAATAGGAAAAACTTACTATTTCAACAGGAGCAATACTTCTCACAAGCTGCTGGAGCAATGTAGCTTCACAGTAAGGAAACTTGCGGATACTTTCTCGAATTAGCTTCTCTTGATACACAGGGAAACCATCTTTATCTCTCCCTTTTAAGAGACTAAATTTTTAAAAACCCAAGTAAAATAAGAAATCACAGAGTAAATATTCAAGAACAAACACACAATATGCTGTACTCTGCCCTCTTTCAAATTATACAGAACTATTACTCAAAATAAATTGGCACCTTCATACATAGAGGTGTCCAATGCAAATGAAATTATTTTTATTCTAATGCACAGTCATTATGAAATACACAATTAATAAATGTATGCTCTGCAACCACAACTTAGTAATTCAACAACACAGAGAAGAATAGTAATCTACAAGTAGACTAGGATCTACATCTGACTAAAATATCAAAATGCTTCGTGGTGTTTAAAAATAAGCATTGTAAGAACAAACACTGACAAATACACAATACTTTAAAGTGCAAAGTCTGCCTTACTTATGTTTAATAACATGCTATAGTCCTAAACACCTCTGTATTTGTCTGGTTTGCTCCTACTTTTTTATATGCATCACTAATAAACTATTTGATTTCACTACATGAAAGCTGACTCCTTAATTTATTTTCAGAATCACACACGATTTCAGTAAAACTCCACGGAAGTCTATGGGGAATGTGATCCTTCTACAAGCTGGGTCACTTTCTTTGATATTTAAGATCAGGCAGCTAGTTTTGTAACTGAGTAGATTCTGAAGATCTGCCTAAGTGATTTAAGAATCCAAGTCTCTGGATCCAGTCTATGGGATTTGCAGTTCTCCATTGTTTAAGTGTTTTTGAAAAAAAATCTCACCCTCTATGACTGCTGGAGAGCAAGATGGCACAAGAAATGCTTCCAGATGATCCACATCAGACGTGGAGAAATTCTATTTTCAAGCCTATCACTCCCCTTTTTCTCCATCACATGTTGCTGCCTGCTGCTTCATTGCGTATGTGAATGCCAAGCTCTAACCAGTTCCAGCAGAGAGCTGGAACTCTAGGAATGTTTCCTTTGTACCCAGGAAAGGACAGTGTCACTTCAAACACAAAAAAGGGAGTCAGTGCCACCCTGAAGTAAGTGAAACCGGGATTATTTTTTTCGGTGTCTGTAAAGCTGGTGTGCACTTGTGCCTTCAGACCTCTCTGTAGAAATACACACCTTTTAATTAGCCCATCTAGTTTATCCTCTCGCTCTTTTAAAAATGTAATACATTTCTGGAAGATGCAACTGATGTAGTGCATTTTCATAGCAAGTACTTCATTCATATCTTTCTGCTTCATACATTTCTCACAAATGAGATCCAGAACCCTGTAACATTTCTGCAGTGCTTCTACTTCGGCCAACAGAGGGTTCTCTTTTACCAGCAACACGATCTAGGAGAGAGATTGAAGAAAATGTCATCCAGTTAGGAATGAATATTTTTAAACTTGTGCATTAGCATTAAAGCTTATACAGCTCATTGTAGCTAAATTGCAGTGGAGTTTCTAATATCCCTCTACTTCCTTCTTAGGCAGTCTTCCCTTTCTTTTTTTCAGTCATTATTTAGTATTATTATTCAGTATAATGTAATTCACAGGAGGAAACAAGAGGAAACTGTATGGTCCACTCACTAAACGAGCTGCCTGTCTGTTATGTACCACAGACACGTCATTGGCAACTGTTGATAAATTCTAGACTTTGAATGGCAAGCCTGAAGAACTTGTATTTTAATTTAGGTGTATTCATTTCTCTGAACTACACTGGAGGAGCAAGCAAAAAGACATTATCTTCAGCAAATGCCCTGCAAAGTAAAAATAAATGTTCTCTTGCACATACTTTCAGAAACAGCAGCAGGGGTAGATGTTACTATGGCAAACCAGTGATGAAGGTAGGAAGATACACGCTGAGAAAAGCATTGAGAGAACAATGAGATTTTGTTAAGACAGGAAATTGTTCTGTATTTTCACTTCAAGTGGGGCTAGGAAAAAAAGCCAAAAAAGAAAGCTATTTATGGTTATTGATGTAAGAAACTCTCTTCACTTAAAGGTGTTAGTTCAAGATTCTCATGCATACAAACACCGAAATAGACTAATTTTTTAATCATATCTAAACATTGAACCTGATTCTTCCTCATTTCAGAAGCCTGTGAATTAGTGGATAATGCTTTTGATCTAAGTTGGACTATCAGAAGAGCTGAATGCTTCCTGACACAAAGAAACAGCTCCCATGCCAACAAACACATACAATTTACGTATTACTCCACCTTAACGGGATGCATGTTGGTAGTAGTAATAATTTTATGCAGAGGGCCAGCTAATTTTACTGGCAGTTTTGGTTCTTTATCTAAGCCTTGTGGTTTAGTATAGTAGTCCAGCCTTTCACGTGGAAAGAAGTTGTTGATGACGGTCACACAGTCATGTTGACCTAAAGGCACACAAGAAAAAAAAAACCACCAGTGAAATAATAACCAAAAAAAATACCTAAACCCAAATCTGATAGAAGCATTATAAGTGAGAATCACCCACAAAGGAGCTTTGCATGATATACTCTGCACTGAAAACAGGCAACTCTTGTCATTCTTTCATGTGTAGATTTAACATTCAGCAAGTCTAACTGACTGACTCCCAGCAGGGAGTGCCCTCATGAAAATCCATTTTGAAAACTCTATCTCCTTCCTGCATCCTCTTTCCCTGGTAAGCCAAAAATTAAGAGAATAGGTATTTCTCCCCCAAGTTACACCATACTAGTAGTCTCATACTGGTGTTAAAATTTTTCAAGAGAAGTTCCTCCACTTTGTACTTTTAAAAATTAATAACATTTGCATTGAGACTTGTAAGTTTTCAGACCCGAAACAGGTAGTAGTGTATTAACCTAAAGTGGGAGAAGTTATAAGAACAGAACATGCTTAAAATTTACCAAAACTAAAAGGACTGTGATGAAAGAAACAAGATGAGAAAAGTTACACCCTCTTGTTTTCTACTTCTGACTATATGATGGATTACTTGGCTCCAGGGAAAGTAAAACTTATCTTCTTTAGTTCAGGACCACATTCTTTAAATTGACTGATTTGTCTTGGCACTAATCCTATAATCAGTACAAGACACAGCCAATCAAATTCCAGCATTTAAAATCCTCAACTCTTTTAGAAAAGACAGTTCTGAGCTAATAGAGCACAGTGTAAAACAAATGACAGGGGAAGAAGTATCCTCACTTCCCACACACAGACAGATGAATTAATGTTGATTGGACAGAGAATAAAAACCCAACAGTAGTAGATTGCAACATTCAGACTTTTACAGAGTAGTGTATCTCAGAATGCCTGAAAATATTTATTCTACCTTGGTGCTGTGATGAGATTTTAAACAAGAACTCTCCAAAATTATGTTGGGAGATAATATTCCCCACTCACTATTAACTCCATCCAGCACCACTCTGGAAAAGACTCTCCAAATCCAAAGTAAAATTAATAGAAGTAAACTCGAATCTCAAGTGAGCAATGCCACCCTTTTCCTCTTTACAAGAACAGAATGAGATAAGATGGAAATTGAAACCTAGTACTAAATCACTACTCAAGGAAGTAAATCTAAATGGCAAGATAGGCTCTTGAATCCAGAACACCTAAAGGCCTTGCAAGGGAGTTCTAAAGCATTGAAACACCATGAGAACGTTGTGTTTGAAAGAAATTACAGGTCCTCATTTTTGGGAAGGCCACCTGAACAGCAATAGCCGTGTCATTAAAATGACTCCACTTTGCCTCATAATATTTTATCGATTTTCCTTGCTAGAAGTAGAGAAAGAGTGGAACATTAATCCAGGAATCTCCTAGTACTGTCAAGGTGGGTAAAAAAAAGTAAAAAAGGTTTATAAAAACAAGAAAAATAGACAAGAAAAAGAAACATAACAACAGAAAAAAAAGCCTGTTGCATCTTTTGTTGGGGATAACACTGCATACTGGAATGAGAAATCTTTTATCTTGTTCTAGTGAAGTTCAGGTCAATAAGCAGTGACTGTCTCAGAACAGGTTCCAAGTCTTCTCCCTCTCCCAGATGCTGAGGGAGAAGGGCAGGTAGTGCCTCCCTGCCACCACACAGCATGCAAGTGGCAAAGCTCAGACCAGAGTTCCTCAGGTCATTCCTTCCCACAAAGCTCCAATTAGACACTTTGTACTGCACTTCAGACACCCCCAATGTTACCAGCTTCCTCTTACTATTTCCAAAGTGGCAACACTGCAAAAACTTACACACTCGAACAGCAGCATCTGTTCTCACAGGTAAGATCATCTGTGTTTTTACAGGCAAGGGAATAGAACACAAATTGACTCTTATAGGATGAGATGTGGAATAAAAAGGCCAACAACTGTGTTAGTTCAGAATAGGTCATTAAATAATATTTCTTCAACAAAAAACATCAGAATCTAACATTTTACTTCTTTAGGAATTTAGGAAATGATAACAGATTTTCACCTTACCCACAAAAGCAGCCATCTGAGCTGCTGTCCTTCCCACAGAGTTGACAACATCAGTTTCCGCTCCAGCCTCTAACATCATCCAGGTGATTTCTTTATTTCCTGAATTTGTAGGGAAGATACAGGGAATGAGTAAGGATAAATCAGAACTTGTCATTATTTATGCTTTAGAAAAACATGGACTGAATTTCTTAAAGACCGGGCATAACACTGAGGGAAATGAATGTTCTTAATGTCATTATTTAAAGACTGGATTAAGAGAAAAGCCCAGTGCTTATTTATGGTTCCAGAGGGCATAACTCTACTCTCTGTAATGCCCATTCAGCTCCCCATGGAGCTTATGGGACTCGTATGTGTGTAGCTACACTGGAGCTCGGTCTTTACGGATAGCAGTATACGAGGCAAATTCTGCTAATCTAGTTTGACAGTTCAACTACATTTGCTATTCTGAGAAGAAAAACAAATTCAGGATTATGATGTAGCAGGAGCACAGAGAAGAGAACAGATTGTTCCTTTCTCTACAGTGGGAACTGGGTGTTCAGACTGGGCTAAATACCAAGTAAAATGCAGCTAAAATTTGATGGGAAGATTAGATGACTTAATTGGTGCCCTTCAGAGACTAATAAGGACACTTGCCACCACTTGTGTTCCTTCTGCTTTCAAAGGTATTCTTACTGTATCAGTTTTAGTGTGGTGCTAAGGACAGAAAAGTGAATATAAAAAGGGGGTGGTGGATGAAAATGAATGTTTCTGGTTTAAAAACAAAGTCATTGCGTCAGTAGCGCTCATGTACCTTGTGTGCTCACAGATAACAGACCTTAAAGTCAACATTCAGAAGCGTTCACACCCAGGATGACAGGTTAAAAGCTTAGCTGTGAGAAAATGGTAAAAGTCCAGCATTTTCCATAAAGCTGCAGTCATTTAACAACCTCAAAGTGTTTGTTTTCATCTGTCTTCTGCAGCTCTGATATTGCTCAATGCCACAGAACATTTCCCAAATCTTTTTACCAAAGTTTCAGCAGAAAAGCAATCTGATGATCCACTTAGGATTCAGATAAACACATAAGCCTTTCTTTCTTTTATACTTAAGATGAAAGAAAGCAGTTTAAACTCTACCTTCCAGGAAATCTTACTTCCTTAGAATCTCATTTTTGGGAAGAGATAAGTGGCCTAGTAAAGAAGATACTTAAAATAACTTAATATTCCCAAATCTAATCTTTTCCCCAGAAGGAACAATGTTTTAATGTACTGTCTTTTTCTCACTCAAGGAAATAACTGTTCCTGTCATCAGGGAAAAAGGAGGAAAGCTGCAAAACACCATTTGAGACAGGAGAAGTTATGTACAGCTATAAGCACTCTCATAAGAAGAAAAAATAATGCAAAAGGAGAGGGAAAACTAATGTGGGAAAACATGTTTTTGAAACTTACTAAATACATTCTTAAAAGCCCAGAAGATAATGGCAAAAATAATGTAGGAGAAAGACAAAATTTGAAAAATACTGGATTGGTTTGAGAAGTCTCAAATATTACAAAAAGCTATGGATTTGTAGTGCTACTAAGGCAGTCTGGTGCAGCAGCTTTTTCATTGTAACACAGTGTAAGTAAACCGAATGTATCCCACTGCACAAGAAGACTGTCACAGAAAACTGAATTTTGGGATCTGTAACAGACAGGACAAAGACTGAATGCCTCAAAATGCAGAAAAGAATCAACTTTTAAATGAGTCTGAACAGTAGCTCTCCTGTTCTACTGTCCTCATGATTCTACTGGTCCTGACATATTGCCACGGTTCACATAAGTAACAGTAAACCTGAATAATAAAAGCCTATCAATATTTCCCTTTAAATTATTAATTTATGACAAATTAATCGATGTCATAAAACCCAGTGACCCCAGTTCAGTAAGAAGTTACCTGAAAGCCCAGCGAACATCAGGGCAGTGTATCCATGCTCATGTTCATTGCAGTTCACATCAGCTCCGTGTCGCAGGAGCAACCTGCACATGTCCACCTTCCCCTTGTAGGCTGCGTGCATCAGAGGGGTCATGCCATGCTGGCAAAGCAAAGTGGAAGCAAGGAGCACACAAAGAAGAATGTTACGTCTCTTGATCTTCATACCACTGATAATTTTTACTTGTACAGGCATGTTCAGTATAACTACTAAAGCCTCACATAATATTTAAGTTATAAAAACACTCACAAAATTTTCATAAAAATATATGGTTACTAACATGAAGCAGATTTGCCACTTTCAAGTCACTTTCCTGATTATGCTGTGCTATAGATTTGAAAACAGTGTTGAATAAATGAGAACCATTTACTGCCAATTTCTCATTGGCCTTTTGTGTAAGACATTAGTGTTAAACACAACTAATTCTTCTGTTAGCAAAAAAGGCTTGTTTTAGAGAACTTGTTAGGTTCATACGTGATTTCTTTTTTCCCCCTGCTGCTGCTTGTATGATAAGCAACAAAAAATGAGGAATAGGCTCTTGTTTTAAACATTACAAACATTTGCAGTTTCTGAAACCCATCTTCCTCATCTTTAGTCAAGATTACTGGTAATTGTGCTATCCTCCTCTCCCACTTCTCCACCTTTCTGGCATTGTGTCTATGATCAGCGAGAGCTCTGAAAGCCCTTGTGCAGATACAAACTCTCACTGGGCTTTAATAAGCACAGCCTCAAACCTTGCTGTTGATCAACTGCTACGGTACAAAAAAGTATTTGCTTCAGCAGGGCAGGCACTGAGGTTTTATTGGAGTTGTGCTGGTGTAATTATAAATGTAAACCTGGGCAAACCTCAGGGGAAATTTTCAGAACTAGGGTGAACTGTGAGTGCAGGCTCTCTCCCTCTCCAAGGGCAGGGAGAAGCACATTTCTGTTTGAGAAAATTGCATGACATTCCATTTTTAGAATTTAATATGCTTTTTCCAATATGCTGCTTATTTTCACATAGCATTGAGTTAGGATTCATGTTATCAGCCAAGACACATTAATTGCCCAAGAACACTCCAAAACTGACTACATGGGAGCATGCTTTAGTTTGTTCCTGAAGGAAATCAGAATGGCATTTTGTTCCTTTTTTGCCAGTCAAGGCTGGGTACAGGAATACACTCATGCACACCATTACTGCAGCTCTGTAAATGCATGGTAAGGTGATACTTACTCTGAAATAATGTAATTGTCAGTTTGAGCCTCAATATATTCCTTGTTTCATTTTACGATAGCATAAAACTTAACTGAGTTTACTTTATCAAAAAAATTCTAAAGGTGACGGAAGTTGGTAAAGTTATAATTATAACAATTTTGAAGTATTATATTTTCATTATTCTCCATCCTAACTGAAAACAATAAAAAGTGATTACTTGATGTTTCATATTCTAGCAACTCAAATAGCTTGGTAAACTGCATTATAAACTGCCACTGAAGAAACAAAAGACCTGAAGAGATCACTCCACGAACATGAAAAAAATTGGTTTTGCTAGGTTTCACTTGGGATGCCACAAATGCTAAGACTTCCTAATATATAAAATATACTATATGACATTTCATTATGTTACATCAACAGCAATTTTTAGGGGCCAATCCCATAAAAATGGGAGTCACAGCACAGATTCGCCTCCTTTAGCAGCACAAAAAGGCACTGCTGTAAGGGGATACGAACACAATGTGGTTTTTGAGGAGAGAAGGAATTTTTAGAAAACAATTACTTAAGTTTTGTTATATCTCAAATACCAGTTGTTTCAATTAAGATCTGAAGATTATAGGACAAAGGAAGGAATTGGGTTTGGTTTTGATCATCCCCTCTTCCCAGAAAACTTTTTTTATAATCCTTTGATTCAATTTTGGAAGTGTCAGGCTGTGGTGTGGATCAAAAAAATGCATCAAGTAGAAAATATGTGGACAGTTAACAGAAAATTGGATGTAAAGTCACACTAATATCAGCTTTGCACATTCACAGCAAACAAAATAGGGTCAGGCTAGACACAACCTTATCCGAAATAGCTCAGTGTCCTGTATTATGTCCCTACACAGAAACTGAAATGACGGCAAATATTTTTCTAATCCTGAATGTCAAAGACAGGTCCAACAACAGTATGTTTTCTCACAGATGACATTGGGATTGTCAATACAACACACTTATAAGACAAAACTAGCAGATGGTTTATTAAGTATAGAGATGAAACAAATTATTTATCGTTCCACTATGGTATATCACATGAAGAATTCCAACAGCTACTATATAACATTTTTCTGACCAAAATTCTGGCCTTTGAACCCCATTCCCTAGGACAAGAAGGAATCCTTCCCAGTTTCTAATTTGTTTTGCAGGGATGTTACATGGTAACAACTCCAGTCTTCTGCAGGGCTGCTTCCTGCAGGCAAGATTTGGAAGGCAGTCAACAGTCACATGCACAAATAATTTTAGCTACAGCTATGTATGAACTAATTAGAATATGAAATGCCGTTCAATGTTGATAATAGCTTTAGTTCTTCTGCTTTACAGTCATTCTGCTCAACTGTTGGTTTCACATCTGTAATGCATTTGATTCCTCTGATGATCTTTCAGTTCACCTGAAAGTGATGAAAAGCTAACATCTACATCAGTCACCAACATGAACTGAAACCAGATAATTCTTAATAGCTGTTGAATTTTCTTTGGTTTGCATATTTTGAAGTACTATGTAAAAACCACCAAAAGACACAACTCTTTCTCCTCAACGAAGGCCCAGGATCTGGGCATTTTCTGCCATCATAGGATGTTCATGATGGAATAGCAAGATAGATTAACTGAAGAACCCTCTGCTGAACATAATCAGTACAAGTAAAGCTACACACATCTCAGACGCTAATAAGCAGGCCACTGCTATAATTCCTGGGAAGTGTTCAGTTCTGTAATTAGCATATAGAAGGGGACTGTTTCTAAAAGATGTATTACAGAGCTAACAGCCGAATTACCAAACTAGAGAAAAAAGTAAAGCTGCTAATGCCAGATGATAGTTCTGTATATAAGAAGATTATGAATGACCTTATAACTATTTTAAATACAGAAAAATTGTGAAGCCTTTTCAGGTCAAGCCTCTCTGCTTGATCTGCAGAAAACAGGGCACAGTAGTACTACAGTGCTCCTTTGCAGCCTTGACTGTCAACATGACCAGAGGAAACTTCCATGGCTAGAAAGCCCATGTGCTTCCTCTAGCCTATCTTTCTGTATGTAATAATCTGAAATATCTTAGCCACGCACTGCAAACGGATGGAGTTAAGTCAGCAAATCGCCAATGTGAAGTCACAACACTATTAACAAGCTCTGCCCTCTCAGAGGAAACAAAAGTTCTGAACACTTTCTTCCATACTAAGTTTCCAAATTAGCAACCACTCCACGTGAAAGAGGACAATAAAATGACTAAGTGGGATGCATTTAAATTAAATATATTGGTATTTATTTTGCATTAATTTCCATAGCCCATCTATTTGTCCTAATGTTTTAGGATACCTCAGCTTAAATGTCCCTGAAGTTTTAAAGTTGCCAAGCTGTTAAAAACCAGTTCTGTGAAAGAGCTATTATATTTCTTTGCTTTCATAAAGACCGGGATTAAGCCTAAATACCTTTTCTTTCTTCATCTATCTAAATCCATAAAGAAACAACAACAGAAAAAATTATTTAGTCAGAAAGGGTGCTGAGAAAAAACAGGACTGTATCTGCTGGATACCTCCAGCCTTCTGGAATATGGCCATTTGTGAAACTCATTTGAATAAAGTGATCTTATTCTGTGTTCCAGTGACTTATTGCTGCCAGCAGAGCCCTGCAGATAGCAGGAGGTGAAGGGTGAGTGAGTCTTGGCACAAGGAAAAGCAAGCAGACTTAGACTAATCTTTTATTTTTAAATACACATACCAACAGCAGAAGCAATGCTGAAATACAGCATCAAGCTCATGCCTACATTTTTGAAATAAGAAGCTGAAACAAATGGAAAGGATTTGGAAAAGAACCACAATTATAGCTCAATTGCTGCAGAAACATAACTTTAGGCAAGATACTTAAAAGGTCAGTGCATCTGGAAGATGTTAAAATGTGTCTTGGTCCTTGTCTAAAGGTACATAGAGAAAAGACAGCTGATTGTCAGTAGTTTTTAATCTAGAAGAAAGCAGATCCAAGCAGTTAGAATATATGGTCAAAACAAAAATGAAAGGAACAGCTTATGTGTTTATTTTTTTAACATTAGGAAGAACAATATGTAACAGCCTTTTTCTGGATGTGCTGTGAATTTTTATTAAATTGTGGAAATTATTAAATTGTGATTGAATGCTTGCTGTACCATAACCACAACTAGAAGAGAGAATTACATTAAAGATGTGCTCATTCTGTGGATTCTCTCACTTACAAAGGACTTTAGGGATGGAAATGAGTTCCCAACTGAATTGTGCTCCCATTTCAATACCAAAGCATTCCATTTTCAGGGCTGTTTCCTTACTTCTTAACGTTAGTAAAATAAGTAACAATAATAATATAAATATTAACGTGAACTTCAGGATAAACAATTAAGGCCACAGAGAAAAAAAGTAACACCTGATGCACTGAGAGCAGTCTCCAGGTGTGGTGATGTTGAATAACAGATGAAGGTAATGTTTAACTGCGATTTCACACACTCTTACTTTTGTATAGATATTTGAATAACACATTGGAGCAAAAATGGCTTATAATAGAAAAATTCTAAAAGTTGAGGTAAGATGACTGATGGATTTAGGAATCCTAAACAAATCTGAACTCCTTCCTGTTCAACATGCATGATTACATACCACTCTTGGGAATAAAAAGGAGATGGCAGGAAGTCCATTGCATAAACTTAAGTGCCTTGTATTTAGTCAGATGTGAGCATTAGGCAAGTATTGTTAATACTATTTCTTCTTTAACAACAGCTCTGAGCATAGCTCAGTTATGGTTTCTATTAATAAACCATATCCTCTTGACAGTAATCCTGTATGGTGCACTAATACTGCATCAAGGGTGCAGTCAGCAATTCACTACAGGAAAATCTTTTAATGTCCATATCATAAAACACGCTTGCAAACATACTTATATTGTATCTTGGGTTCCTGAAGTTCACTGTAAAGCTTAGTGTGACGAGTTTGTCAGAAGCTTATTGGAATTTATGTAGTGGAAATTAAGGTTTAAATATTTAACTGTTATTTAAGAGCATTCAGCAAATGGATCTGTTGGCAGCACAAAAAAGGCTAGCAACATTCCATGAAGATACCTGGTAGATTAAGGGGCAATTTTCCTCCATTCAGAATTCATGGGACCACATCCACAATACCCTGTCCAATTCTGGGTCTACCAGTGCAACAAAGACATGTATAAATAGCAGTAAATTCAACAGAGTACCAGCAACACTCGGTGGGAACTCGAGCACTTGTGTGGTGAAGAGAGGCTGAGGGAGCTGGGCTTACTCAGCCTGGAGAAGAGATGGCTTTGGTGGAGCCCAGGAGCAGCTGGCCAGAGCCAGCAGGGAGGTCACTGAGAAGACAAACCCTTCTGTTATGGTGGCAGGAGGGCAAAAGACACTGAGTCTAAGTTGAGGTTCTGACATAAGGGAAACACATTTTCACCAGAAGCACAGTAAGGCAGTGGAACAAGTTGCCCAGAAATACTGTGCAGTCTCCATCCTTGGGGGTTTACAAGGTCAGACAGGACAAAGCTCAGAGCAACCTCATCTGACCTTGGAGCTGAAGCTGCTCTGAGCCAGAGGCTGAACTAGAGCCCTCCTGAGCTCCCTTCTGAAAAAAACTCCCTTGTGAAAAAAACCACAAAGTGACACTTGAATTAAGAAATTACACACGGATTTAACATACATGATGGGGAATTATGGTTTTGCTTGCATGTTACACTTCTTATTAGTGCACACTTTAGAAAAACATTGTAAAAAGGAAAAAGAAGATGAAACATATGAACATTCCACAAGGCTCCTTTCTCCATGAACTTACTCCCACCATCAGGCAACACTTACTTAAGTATTTTATCTTATACATGTCCATCACACCTGCCTCTGAAAAGACTGTTTTCCCCTTTTGATCTAGCTATTCACTCTCTCAGTATGTTTACGGTTTGGCACAGATGGGGTTTTGGGTGATGAGACCAAGCACAAGATGGGGGAAGGTATTCTTTATCCCCACTGTCTGCTGCAGAGGACCTACAGTTTGGTGGAGGTGACAAGAACCCAGGGACCACCTGCATGTTCTTGCTGCAGTATTTATCTTACCTTACAGACACCAAAGTCCATGCTGGAAATTGAGAGAAGATACAAATAGTGTAGTACTTTAAGTAAAATTAATCTTTAAACTTTCTTAAAAAAAACAGTAATAACTCCTCAAAGGCTCATTATTCCTCAGCTGCAGTCTGGCAATATCTTCAGAATAACTCTGACTTCTACGAGTCTGTACAGCAATGATATTTAATAGGAAGGCCTTCAGACCTAGTATTTTCCTTGCTAAACTCAGCGTAATGCTTATAGTTTTGCTGTACCTCATCCAAGCAATTGACACGGACATTCTTGCTTCCCAGTAGTCTTCCAGCCTCATCGGTGTTTCCTTAAATTTAAAAAAGGAAAAAGAAAAAGACAGAGATAGAAAGGGGAGTGAGAAACAGAATAACCTGAGAATCAAAAGGAAAACTATAATTTCCATTCCCCATTAGAATCAAAATCTTTGTAGCTTAACCACTTGGGATGTAGATCAACCACCCATAAATCAACTGCACTTGGTGAAGAGGCTTAGGAATAAACAGTGTTCTGTTCTGAAAGTTAAAAGGCAAGAAGTCACAACATGAACGAGAAGTCAGAGAGCATGTACCAGAAGTAAACATTCATTTTTTGTGAAGTAACTGATCTACATAAACAAAAACAGGACACTAATACGTCTCTTCATAAACAGCACCAGAATAATTCTGAGTGAGTACAAAGACGCTGAGCATTTTAACACACTTTGACTTCTTTGGGAGCATCTTATGTCTAAAAGAGTTATCTAAGTTCTCCCAAAAGGGAATTATTTATAAGACTTTCTGGTCTGAATGAAATATGCTTCATCATTTACTCACATCACCTTTCCTGTTTAAATTTGAAATTTGCAACATATCATCACTTCCCAGGTCCACAAAAGTGGAAGGAATTTGCTTTTGGTAATAGAGCATAGAAGTGGAAAGGACAAGGGTCAAAGTAGCTTGATCACTGACATTTCTAAAAATTGCCAAATACATAAATAGACTAAAGTCTTGAAAAAAAAAAACAAACCTGCAAGGAAAAACAAGCTTCAACTTTGTATTTTCAATTTGCTACAAGAATCTTTTTGCTTAAGCCACAGGTCTATGAACCTTATTTAAAGCCCATTGAAGGACAATTCACTTAATATCAACGCAGCTTCTACAAGCATTCAAACAAATAGAAATGAAAGAACATTCAAAGACTCTGAGTTTGGGGAGTTAAATCTATTGCAAATTAACAGAAACTTCTGATCACTGAATCAATCACAAGCACAACTCTTTCAGCAGTGGTGTGCTTAATAAAGATAAGCATTGCACTCCTCATTTTAATGACAGGATTCATGCTTATCTTCACTACATCACAAGGAGGTGCTCTTCCAACAAATTTTCAGCAAAGCAGCTCTTGCAACTTCACTTTTGGCCCAAAACCCCATTACAAATAGTATCAATAATTTTTTTCATCAAGCTTTTGGTGTGGTTTAACCATACTACAGGTTTCTTTCTTCCTTTATTATTAATTAATTATTTTAGGGAAAAAAAGACAATCACCTGAGTCATCTCACACACTTGATAGAGACCCAGTCAGGGAACTGTCAAACAGCCTACTCCCCTAGACATATATTTATTCTAAACATTGGGAAGCTTCTTAAGACCTGGAGAAATTTTCCAAAAATCAACCCAGCAAAAGAACGAACATCAGTAAGAGCAAGTCTTCAAGGGGTGATCTTCAAGTAAATTTCAACACAAGCAAAGCAAAGTTACATTTACAAGTCCAGAGTTCTCAAACACTGAAGGATTTCCAAACGTGACACTGAACTGCTGGAAACCAGACTTCTAGAATTGTCTAGAGCTACAAGTTGGAGCCAGGCTGCTCATGGTGGTGCATGGTAGGAGGCCAAGAGACAACAGGCAGAAGTTGACAGAAAAGGAAGCTTCAGACGGGATACACAGCGAAAAACATTTTCACTACAAGCCCCAGTAAAGCAGAACAGGTTGCCCAGAGATACTGTGCAGTCTCCATCCTGGGAAGTTTTCAAGGCCTGAGAGGATAAAGCCCTGAGCAATCTCATTTGACCTCACTCTTAATGTGTTTTGAGCAGGAGGCTGGCCTAGAGACTTCTGAGGTTCCTTCCAACCTGATTCAGCCTGTAACTGTAATCATAAGCAATCAGGTAAGTTAGACAGAAGTGCCTGCAAGACAAAGGCCTGAAACTCTGATTAAAGCGTCTGATTAAAATCAGACTAATTTTGATTCACGATAAATTCATTGCTGGCTGTCCTATGCCTATGTCTCTGACATGGAGCAACATTTTAATATAACTGAGAGTGAAGCCTCAAAACTACAAATAAAATTTCTTAAGGGTTCAGTTTGCCTGAAAACTACATATAGAAATGCATGGGACACATCAACTGTTTTTAGCTTACCTTTAACTAACGATCACCAATCATGACTTTAAAAATGCCATTTGGAGTATAACTATTTAGACAGGGCTGTGAAATTCAGGAAACCCAAGTGTTACAACAAGTATGACAGAAGGCATGACAGAAATCCCCCCAGCAATAAGCATGTGTGCCACATAGTGCAGTGAAATCATGACACTTGTGTGAAATGCAAAGCCAAAGAATCACAGAATGGGTCAGGTTGGATGGCACCACTGTGGGTCATCTGGTCCAACCTCCCTGCTCAAGCAGGGTCATCCTACAGCACATTGAACAGGATTCTGTCCAGATGGTTCCTGAATATCTCCAGGAAGGGAGACTCCACTGGGCAACCTGTTCCAGTGCTCGGTCACCTGCACAGTAAAAAAGCTCTTCCTCATGTTCAGGTGAAACTTCCTGTCCATCAGTTTCTGCCCGTTGCCTTTTGTCCTATTCTGGACACCACCGAGAAGAGCCTGGCCCCAACCTCTTGACACCTTCCCTTCAGATACTTTAGACATTGATGGGGTCCCCTCTCCTCTCTCTAAGAGAACAGAAATAAAATAGTATAAGGCATAAGAGGTGCACAATACCCTGGACAAGCTCGAGTTCTGTTAATTTAAGAACTACCCGTCTGCAAGGACATCCTGCTTTGACAACTACACATCGGGAAAACCGTACAGCGGGCTAGAGGACCGGATTACCCCCAAGAAAACTTTTTGTTTGTTTTTAGCAGATTGGTTAACACTAATCATTAGGCAAATGTCAACAGGCAATACTAATATGATGTAAGCTTTCCCTGGCAGAGCTAGATCCGCCCAGATGAGCTTCCCCAGCCCCACTGCACCGCACCTCGACCCTCACTGCATTCCCTGCGTGACACGGGCCTGCCTGAGAGGGAAGTGGACCAAGGAAACAATCCTCTTCCAGGCAGGGAGAAGGGTGGCGGGGTGCGAAGGCGGAAAGGCAGGCGGGGCCCGGCGCGGAGTCCCCAGCGCGGAGCGGGCCGGGCCGGGCCGGGCCGGAGCGGGGGCAGCGCGGCCGGTAACGGCGCCCCACGCGGGAGCCTCCCGGGGCACGGCCCGCGGAGCTGCGGCCCAGGGCCGCGAGTGGCGAGGGCCGGGCGGGCTCACCTGTGGCGATCACCGCCAGCAATTCCTTCTCCTCCGGGCTCAGGTCGCCCTTCCTGGGGGGAGCCATCGCGCACGGCAAGGCGGGACGGGCCCGCACGGTGCCGGCAGCACCTCCCGAGCCCCCGCCCGCGGCACCGCCCCCGCCCCGCTCCTCGCGGCGCCTTCCGCCCGCAGCCCCGCCCTGCCGGGGCCGGCCGCGGGCCGAACCATTCCCGCCCGGGCACGGGGGGCACTGCGTGCCGGCCGCCCCCCTCCGCCGGCCGCCCCTCTCGGCTTTACCGCCGAGAAGGACCGCTTCGCTCTTTTCCCTCATTTTCAACTTGAGAAATGTGTTCTGCTTTTCTTTCGTCTCCCTTTTTTCGGTTCTCCGCTACCTCCCCTCCGTTTCCCCCCCCTCCCGGGGAGGCGCCAGGAGTGGTGCGGGCGGGCGGAGGCGCCCGTGTGTCAATGTGTCCGTCCTTCACTCCTCCATTGTCTCTCGCCGCCGCTGCCGCCGCCGCGCCCGCTCGCCCTCCCCGCCCCGGACCACGCAACCACCCGACAGGTGCGGCCGGGAGGGGAGAGCGCCAGGCGGGGGTCGCGCCGGAGCCCCGCGGCGGCGCTGCCCGTGGCCGCGGCTGCGGTGGGGCAGCTCGGGGCGGACGGGCGGGCGCGGCGGCCATGGCGGGGCAGGGCGGGCGGCGGCACAGCCCCGGTGCCGGGGCAGGTCCGCGGGGCTGGAAGCGCCGCCGTCCGCGGGTGTGCGGGGCTCCCGCACGGGCGGCGCCGCGGCCGCTGCGGGAGGGCGGCGGTGCGCGGTCTGGTGCCCGCCGGCTCTTCCCTCCGTGGTCCTGCTTTCCTGCCTTTTTAAGGCATCGAGCTATGGGGTAGTGGTTGTTTTTCTCCCAGGCAGGAAAAGCGGTTTGTTCGGCTGAAGCGGCCGAGTGGAGCTGTGGCTGTGCCGCGGCATCGTGTCTCCGGGAGGAAGCGAGCGTTGATGGATCGGGAATGGAAGTAACGAGCTCGGGGTGTTCAGAGCGGTGCCTTTTGTTGGCGCCTTTCTAAAATTAAACTCTCGGTGGAAAAATGATCTTTGTTACGGATCCAACTTTCCACTCCTCCAGCTGAAGCTCGGTAGGCACTAGGACGATCCTGCGGATCTTCTCTAAGGGACAGAGGCTGAGGTTTAACATCCTTGGTTTCTACCTGTTTGTACCAGAGGGAAAAGCTGGACCCTGATACTTGATGCTGACTTTTTACCCTCCTTTGCCCTACTCTTCAATTGATATTTTTTGTATTCTTTCTTTTAAGGAACGCGGTTTTTTCCTGTAACTGATTTTTGAAGGCATAGGTTTATCAGCAAGTTGATTGTTTTTCTTTCCTTAGTAGTTGCAAGTCAGCTCGTGGTTACTTAGATAATGGAAATTCTCTCTCAAATACTAATCTTGTTCTGCATTTTGACATCTGTTAATGGCTTGACTGACTTTCAGAAATTGTGAAGTCCCATTGTTTGCTTCCTGGTTCAGAGAAGAGCATGCTCTGAGTATAGTGGATCTTCTTAACTATTGGGGTACAAAGCCAAAATGTGATACACTTCTATGTAAAAAAAACCAGCAAAATTATGTTTTCATGATTTTAAAAATCATGGAAATACAGTATCATACCACCGCCTAGTTTTACTTACATCAACAAGTGTAAATCACAAGATACGTGTACATATTAAAAATTGCTTTGTACTTCAGATTATAACAGATTCCCTTGAGGATTTTTTTTGTGGCAAAACAAAAATACCTTGAAGGAAATATCCTCAAAGCATTGCCTAAAAGCAAAAGTGCTTTTAATATTCTGATCCAGAAAAATATCCCTGTGTGGTGCTAACAGAAGTCTGTCACTGGCTCAACATGAAGGCTGAAATTAGGGTTTAAGTGTGCTTTTGTTGGTTCACAGCAGGTGTGACTTTTACCTGCTGTGAACAAATTTGTGGTATTACAGTGCATTGATAATGTCTGTGGCACTATTAAATAACAAGTGCATTCAAGCTTCCTTTCATATTCCAAAATAACCTCCCCAAAACCTGTTGGGCATTCAATGTACAAAAGTATGCATATTACATTCCCTTTTTTTAAATATGAAAATGTCAGTACTGTCATTGCACCCTAGCTTGCAGAGTGAACAGGCAAACAGTTTTTCCTTGGCAGCGTCGCTGGAGCTCACTTTGTGAGTAAGGCTGCAGGAGTGCTCCATCTGCAAGGGTAATAAAATAACACTAGTTAAAAATGTTGCTCGCTCTTACCTGTGGAAGGACTGTATGACCTTCAGTCCTGTAATATGCAGGCATTTCGCAATCTTTAGTTCATCCTTGTGAGATTGTGATGAGGTAATAAAGTGGTGTTGCCTCCATTTTGTGAACATAATCTGAAGCATGGAGGCAACAAGTGATTTTTTTTTTAAGGCAGTGTAGGGAGTGAGTGCCAGGACAGGGAACTGGAACATGAAAATGTAGGTTCTGTACCTTTGTGTCTTGGCCCTTAATGCATTTTCTTTTGTCTGTTGCATCTGTTTGTTTTACATATTTAAGTTGTGGGTATTACTGTTTGGTAATTAATAATTTACATTTTGGATATTACAGAGGGAGAAGGGAATGTTAACCTCACTGTGACTGAGGATGTTTTTTAGATTTTAAAAGATACGTGTACATATTAAAAAACCTCTTATTTCCTTATCAGGTGATATATGTGATACATGTGATTTGTGAAAGCAGGGACCAGGGGTGACATTTTTCCCCGGTGGTTTGCTGGTTCTAGTGTGTGCAGGTGTGTTAGTGGGGATTGGTGATGGCTACTGTTAACAGTGTATAGGTGATCCTAAATGCCTGACACTTTCTGCAGTTGTCAAGAGCAACATTCATGCAAGAAAATATCAAGGATTTCTTTAATTAAGGAACATTCCTTTTTTAGTGAATGTACAAAACAGTAAGCTTTTCCTTGGATCGAACTGGGAGAGAAGAGTGCCTGTGCCCTGGAGAGTGACCATGAAACGCTCAGTCTTTGGACATAGAGGAGAGGAAAATGAAATGTTCAACTGGTTGCACTGGTTTTAAGCTGCTTTCTCTCAAATGACCAACCTTCGCTTGTGTCTTGGAGGCTTGTTAGAATTATGGCTGTGTACTTTGCTGCTCTGTTAATGGTAGCAGGGGTCAGATATCCTGTAGCCTCTTTCTGTGCCTGGGCCTCTCAGGATCAGAAACCTGGTCTGACCCACTACATTTTATCTAGGGGAAAGTAAACGAATAGGTCAAACAAGTACTCATGTTTCTGTGACTTATTCTCCAAGCTTATATCTCACTGGGTCACAGCTAGGGATTTCCTCAACAAAAAGTGGTGTCTCTGTGTTTACCTTTGTATTTGATAGCCTGTGGTAGGTTTTTTGAATCTAGGTAAATTGTGTGTATGCATCATCCTGTGATTATAACTTTCATGATTGCTTGAAAGAGGACCTCTTTTTACTTGTTTTTGAACTTGCCACTTCGTGGTTTCCTTTGATCCCTTAACCTCCAGTTCCTGTTTTGGGAGACGATGAGTCCTGTCCACCCTTGACACGCAGTCATGCCTTGACAGAGCTGTATTATCCCTGCCATTGTCTTTTCTGAAGCTGAAGTCTTAGGATTATTTAGTCATTCCTATGTAAAAGCCATTTCATATGGTCAAGTGCGTTTTTGTGAAATGGTTCTGTCTCTTGCATGGCCTGGACTATAGGAAATCTCCTTTGAGTGGAGCTGAGCTTTGCAGACAGACCCCCACTGGGTTTTGGTCCTGCTGTCTCCAATCCTTATAACTATATCCTGGCCAAAGTTAAGAGGATCTAATAGGATTATTCATTTAGATCAATTCAAGTTCATGCAAGTTCAAGGATTTTTTATTGCTAAAAACATCCTCTGTTTTTTCCTCTCGGATCTCACAAATCTGTGGATAGGTTGCTTCCCCCCTCCTTATACAATTGGCATTGTATAACTGACTTCCTTAAGTATTTTTATTTTATTTTAAGTGGAGTTTTTTTCAGATTTCATCTGGTTTTGGATCTCAGCACAGCCACTTGATCTTTAGTGTGATCTGTCAGCATTGCTCAGGCATGTTTGTACCTGAAGGTAGACTATAAAAAGACCACAAAAGAGTAACTGAAACTGGGGAGCACCCGTACATGTTGGAACACAACTGGTGTAACCACAACAGCTATACACAAGGTATGCCCATAGCTAAGATGTGTACTGAGACATGGATAGATATTTTCATCTGCTGCCCATTCCCTGTGGGACCTTGCACAAAGTTAGGCTTTCTTTACACTCTGCAAAATCTGAGTTATTCTTATGTCAGATGGAGATCACTTACAGTAATTGCAGATTCATGATAGCAAACTAGCAAGATTTTTGGTTTTAGTCAGCCTGTAAGAAGGATGGATTGCCTCTGGTGAGAATTAGGAGTGAGTACAAACAGGTCCGGCAAAGGAAATACTAGACACAGCCTGGGACTGAGAGGTTGGCCAGGGATACAGGAAGGAAGCATCTCCTGTGATGTCCTGAATCTCAAGGAGTTACACCCTTCTACAGCTCCTTCAACTACCACAGGCAGAGCAATTAAATATGGCTTTGGGGTTGTAGTCCCTTGTAATAACTACTATTTCATCTGTTTTCCTTACATGTGTTTTCATGCAGAAAAAGAAGTATAAGCAGTTCAACGGTTTGTAATTTGCAAGCTAAAGTAATCCTTTCATTTTAGGTTTTGTTTCCATAAATAAAATCCTCTAGTTCTCTAGAAATGTCTTTAAGAGGGAAGATTCATTCAGTGCATTCACATTAAACCTTAGTAATTTTTCTTCTGATAAAACACAGGGTTGAAATCTTGGGAAAATACTACTGAGCGTTAGCAGATACAGGGTTTGTCATTTATTTTCACTACCATTTCATCCATTGAACAATAGAAAATTAGCAAAACAAAGTATGCTATTTGTTTTAAATGCTGAAGAAGTCAACCCTCTAGAAAGAAGAGGTGATGGTGAGTTTCTTTTCAATCTACAACCTTCTCTGTATGTACCAATATTGATATGAGTTTGGTATGAGTCTTTTTGCTATGTACCTCTCTGAGGTCTGTGTTGTCAAGTCACTTCTGTCTTAAGTCTACTTTGACTACATTGTCTTAATATGTGGTTTCCTGTG